GGCAGTCCGGCGGCAGTTTTCCTTTCTGGCCCGGCTGCCTCCGCGCCACGGCCTCCTGCTGTTGGGCGCCGATTCAGCGGCCGCTGCCGAACTCGCCCCGGCGGCCCACACCACGGTGCAGACGTTCTCGGTAGCCGGCGCGGGTGGTGTCGCGGCCGACTGGACGGCCGCCATCGAGACGAGCGGTCCTTCCGGAAGCCGCCTGCTGGCGGCATTTCGCGGCGCGGTCCGGCCGCCCATCGAGGGCCGGTTCTGGGGCCGCGCCTCGGCGCGGAACGTCCTGGCGGCGGCGGCTGCCGCCGAGTGGCTGGGCGTCGAGTGGGACGCGATCCGCGAGGCGGTCCGTGGGTTTTCAGGGGTGGCGCGGCGGCTCGAGCGTCTTGGTGCGAGTCCGGATGGACGGGTGCTGGTGGTCCGGGACTTCGCCCATCACCCGACCGCCGTCGAGGCGGTCCTCGAGGCGGCGTCCTATCGCTGGCCGGAGGCGCGGCTTCTCCCGGTCTTCGAGCCCCGCTCCTTCACCGCGCGCAGCGCGGTGTTCCAGGACCGGTTCGCGGAGGCGTTCCGGCCGGCGGACCGGGTCCTGCTGGCCTCCCCCGCCGGCGAGAGCCGCGGCCGCCGACTGCCGGGAACCGCGTCCCTCGATCTCGACCGTCTGGCCCTCGACCTCGAGTCGGGAGGCGTGCCGGCGGAGGTGCTGAGCGATCACCCCGCGCTTCTCCGGCGGGTGGGCGAACTTGCCGGCGGAGAAGGCCAAACCGTCTTGCTGTTCCTCTCGAACGGTCATTTCGGCGGCGTCCCGGAAGCCGCCGCGGCCCAACTCACCCGGTAGGCACTTGCCCAGGAGCGCCGGTCTTCAGACCGGCATCGCGGCCGAAGGCCGCGAAACTCACGCCCCATTCACTCCTATTGCATAGACCTAGTCGGGGACGGCGAAACGCACCGCTGGCCACCCCCGCAGGGCCGCGAGAGCTCCGCCATCCACTCTCATGGCCCAGCCCGTGCCATTCGCGGCGGTGGCAGCTTGGCACTCTTGTGGTGCCGACTCTGGCACGACGAAAGGCTCTGGGTGTGAGAAATACGGAGTGGAAGCGGATGAGCAGGAAAAGAAATGGCGGCGGACCCGGAGGGTGCGCCGCCAGCGAGATCAGGGGGAAAGTGTGAAAGGGGGAACTCTCCCTTTCACAAGACGACAACGACGAATCGGAACTCGCCGCCGCGCGCTCGCGGATACCGCTCTGGAACCCGGCTACGGGAAATTGGGAGTTTCGCCCGCTACGCGGGCGATGCCGGTCTGAAGACCGGCGCTCCTGGGAGCGAGACTCCCGTCGCCAGCCCCCCGTCAGCGCCGGATGATGTGGGGCAGCAGCGCCTCCCGGTCGAGATCGGCGCGCCGCGCGATCCTCGGGGTGATGGTCAGGATGATGTCGGACTCCGTCAAGTTGTCGGAGTTCTGGCCGAACAGCCGCCCGATCACCGGGATGTCGGCCACTCCGGGAAGCCCGCTCAGACTGCTCCGCTCTTCCTGACGGATGAGGCCGGCGATCATGCTGGTCTCGCCGTTCCTGAGGCGAAGCGTCGTCTCCACGTTCCGGTTCCCGAAGGTCGGCAACCCCGGAATACCCGGTGCCCGACACGTTGTCGAGGCGGACCTTGATCTCCAGCGTCACGCTGTCGTCGTGGTGGATCCGGGGAAGCACCTCGATGCTGACCCCGACGTTTTCGTACTCGAACGTCGTGGTCGGCTGCTGGGCGAGTCCTCCGGCCGCGAACGGAGCGAAGGTGGTCACCGGAACCGGAACCCGTTCGCCGAAATCGGCGGTCGCGGTCTTGCCGTCGGAAGCCCGGAGCTGCGGGTTGGCGAGCACGTGGGTGTCGCTATCCGAGCGGACCAGGTTCAGGATCGCGCCGGGGAGCCCCGTGATCTGCAGGTTGCCGCGCTCGTAGGGATTCTGGAGCACGGTGTCCAGCCGGGGGGTGAGAGCTGCGGAGATGCCCTCGGCGCCGGCGGACAGCAGGGGAATGCCGTACTGCTCCAGGTGGGTCCGATTCACCTCCATGAGTTCCACGTCCACGACCACCTCACCGGGACTCCGGTCGAGCGCCTCGATGATGCGCTGCGCGGAACGGACCTGCTCCCAGGTGTCCACCATCGTGATGGAGTTGGTCCCCGCGTGCTGCGCGATCTGGCGGATTCCCAGGACGATGCGGAGCGTGTCCGCCGTCTCGACGAGATCCGCCGACGACAGGTAGAAGGTCTGCGCCACCTGCCGCTCGTACTGGAGCCGCTTGTTCTGGGTGTCCGGAACGACGGTGATCAGGTGGGGTGACTCGACGCGGAAGAAGTGGCCGGTGGTTTCGGTCAGGCTGCGGATCACGTCCTCGAAAGAGGAATCCTCCGCCTCGATCGAGACCGTCTGATCCACGAAGTCTTCGTCGAAGGCGACGTTGACGCCGGCGATCTCGCCGATGGTCAGCAGGACATAGCGAAGGCTCGCATCGCGGAACACGAAGCTCGCCGGCGCCCGGGCGTCTTCGGCCATATCGAGCCCCAGCGGCCGGGTCAGGGCCTCTTTCTTCAACTCCGCGAGGGTCAGCACCCGGGTTTCCTCGGCCTGTCCCTCGACCGCCTCCTGGATGATGGCCAACCGTTCCTGGTACGACGTCTCGCTCGGCGCCAGGATGATCGCCGCCCGGAGGGCGTCCTCCGCCCCGGGGTAGTCCTGTTGCGCCGCGAGGCGCTCCGCCTCCCTCGCGTGCCCCTCGGCGGCGCGCAGCTTCGCGCGCGTCAGGGACAGCGCGGCGGCCGAATCGGAGGGGTCTTCCGCGACCGCCCGGGCGTAGTGCACCACGGCGTCGTCGTAGCGGCCGAGGCGTTCCGCGGTCTCTCCAGCCGTGAAGTGACGGCTGGTCGCGCAGCCGGCGACGCCGGCCGCGAGCAGGAGCAGCGGAATGAGGAACCCTTGCGGGCTCCGGCCGAGGATTCTCACGGGCGGAGGTCTGCTGCCGTCACCACGTCGGTTCCCGGGGGAATGGTAAAGGTGAACAGCGAGTCCTCGGGGGTGGCACCGAAGCGGAAATCGGTGAACCGAAAGACGGTCCGGTTCCCTTCAAGGTCTTCGGTCTCGATCCCCCGGATCCGGCCGCTTTCGGCGTCCACCGTGAGCGCCAGCGAGGTGACATCTCCATTCGGTTGCCGTGGAACCAGCGAGACCGTCCGCAGGCCGGGATCGGGCTCACTTCCGAGCAGCGCGTCGAAGTGATCCAGGATCGTCGCGTCCCCGGTCAGGAATTCGAGAGGATTCAGACCGCCGGCTTCGCCCTCGGTCTCCTCGCCGGTGCTCCCGAAGGCGCCCACGACTACCTGCTGGTCGGCGGGAACGTGGAACCACGTATTGGTCCCGTCACTGACGAAGACCTTCGGTTCGGGCGATTCGTAGTCCCAGCGCATCCGGGCGGGCCGTTTGACCGTGAGCCGGCCGGTTTCGATTCGGTCGCGTCCGAAAATGCGCGGGGAAAAGCGCTGCTCGAAGCGCGCCTCGAAGTGGGGCAGGGACTGGTGGTACGCCTCGACGCGCTCGATGAGCGCAACCGCCGCGGGGTCGGGAGCGGATGCCGAAGGCGGCGGTTCCGCGGTTGCGGCGGGGGCCGAAGTGGCCAAGCCGAGCAGGGCTGCAGAACCGAGGATCCGCAACCAGACGCCTCGTTGCATGTTGGAATCTCCTTCCGCTGGTGGACGGCACGGGGATCGAACCCGTGACCTCGGCATTGCGAACGCCGCGCTCTCCCTGCTGAGCTAGCCGCCCTCTGCGGATCGGATTTTCTTCAAGTATAACTTGCACTTTCTTGCGAAAGGGGCAGGGTGGCGCGATGCCGCCGCGGATCGGTAGCGTTATGCTACCGATATGAATTCGGTGCACATCCGTGACGTCGCGCCGGACACCGTGGACGCCCTGAAGCGTCTGGCTCGCAGTCATCATCGCTCGCTCCAGGGCGAATTGCGGGCCATTCTTCAGCGGGCTGCGCGAATGGCGCCGCCGGACGAGAGCGCCCGCGAGCTCAATTTGGTCACGGTCAGGGTCGGCGGTTCGACTCCGTGGCGGAGGGAAGAGATCTATGGCGCCGACGGCCGGTGAGATCCTGTTCATCGACACCAATGTGCTCCTGACCGCGACGGATGAACTGCGTTCACAGCACCGCGAGGCGCAGCGGCTCATCACCGAATCCGGACCGCACGGTCTGCACCTGGCGGCGAGCGGGCAGATCCTGCGGGAGTATCTGGTCGTGGCGACGCGGCCCCGGGAGGCCAACGGTCTCGGCCTGAAGGTGGGGGATGCGGTCGCAAACGTGAACGAATTTCTGCGCCATCTCCACCTCTACGAGGAGAACGAGGAGGTGTCCCGGCGGCTGCGGGGGCTCGCCCTCGTCCACGGTCTGCACGGCCGGCGGCTCCACGATGCCAACATCGTGGCCACGATGTCGGCGCACGGTATCCGCGTGGTCGTCACCCAAAACGGCGCCGATTTCGCTCCCTTCGACGGGATCGAGACGGTGACGCTGGCTCCGGCGGCCTAGTAGTAGCGCGCGAACACGGCGGACCGGGTCGAGGCGGCCTGCTGTTCGACCTCTCCTCCTGCTCGGCGGTCTCCGCGGTGCTCGCGCACCGCTCAAGAAGCACGGCGCGAAGCCCCGGGCGGTCCGGAAGGGGGTTTTGCGGTGACCCTCCCGGCTCTCGACGGGGCTCCGCTCAGGAGCCCTCCTCCGGACCGCTTAACAGCCTGTGGTGAAACCCAGCCGGCCCAGTTCTCCCGGTGGGGGCTCGGCCGGCGATGCATCCCGGCCAAACAGCCGGTGATGGAACCCAGGCGGCGTTCGGCCGGCGATCCATCCCGGCTGAACCGCGTCGCTGCGCGCCGCTCATCGTTGCGTTTCGGTCGAAATACACCAGGTATTCCTCCCTCACGCGCCTTGTCAGCCGGGCGCCTCGCCGGCCTCGGCGCTCACCTGGGTTCCACCACCGGCTGTTCACCGCGTCGCTGCGCGCCGCTCATCGTTGCGTTTCGGTCGAAATACACCAGGTATTCCTCCCTCACGCGCCTTGTCAGCCAGGCGCCTCGCCGGCCTCGGCGCTCACCTGGGTTCCACCACCGGCTGTTAACGCCTGCTGCCGCAATGTGTGATCCGCCAGTACCAGGCAGGCCATGGCCTCCACGATGGGCACCGCCCGCGGGAGGACACACGGATCGTGGCGGCCGCGGGCCGCGAGCGTGACCTCCTTCCCCTCGGAATCCACCGTCTGCTGGGGCAGGCCGATCGTCGAGGTGGGTTTGAACGCCACCCGGAAGACGATGGGCATTCCGGTCGAGATGCCGCCCAGCACGCCGCCGGCGTTGTTCGTCTCGGTCGCCATCCGGCCGTCCTTCATCACGAAGCGGTCGTTGTGTTCGCTGCCGCGGAGCCGGGTGCCGGCGAAACCGGAGCCGATTTCGAATCCCTTGCTGGCGTTGATCGCCAGCATGGCCTTCGCGAGATCGCTCTCCAATTTGTCGAAGACCGGTTCGCCGAGCCCCGCCGGAACGCCGCGCACCGCACACTCAACGACGCCACCTACGGAATCGCGGGCCCTCCTGATCCGGTCGATCAGTTCCACCATGCGAACGGCGGCTTCCGGGTCCGGACAACGCACCGGAGTCCGCTCCACCTCGGCGCGGGTCACCCGCTCGGGATCGACCGCGGCCTCGACGTCCTGGGTGCGTTTCACGTAGGCGACGCACTCGACGCCGAACCGTTCGGCGAGGAATACCCGCGCCACCGCTCCGGCGGCGACGTGGCCCACCGTTACCCGCGCCGAGGAGCGCCCTCCGCCGCTCTTGTCCCGGATCCCGTATTTGGCCTCGAAGGTGTAGTCGGCGTGGCTGGGCCGGTAAACGGTCTTGAGCGCCTCGTAGTCGGCGGGTCGGGCGTCGCGGTTTTGGACCACCATCGCGATGGGATGTCCGGTCGTCTGCCCGGCGATGACCCCCGACTGGATCGCCACGCGGTCCGCCTCGCGGCGGGGCGAGGTGAGGGCGCTCTGACCCGGACGCCGGCGATCGAGTTCCTGCTGGATGTCGGCCTCGCTGAGCGGCAGCCGGGGCGGACAGCCGTCCACCACCACGCCGATGGCCGGGCCGTGTGACTCGCCCCAGGTCGTCACCCGGAACGCCTGGCCAATGGAGTTACCGGGCACTTCGAGCCTTTCGGGCGGCGTCCGCCATGACCTCGATCGGGGCAGGGCGGCCGATCCAGCGTTCGAACGCGGCGGCCGCTTGCAGGATGAGCATCCGGAGCCCGGGGACCGTCCGCTTGCCGAGCCCGGCCGCCTGCCGGAGGAGCCGCGTTTCTTCGGGATGGAACACCAGGTCGAAGACCACTTCGTGAGCGGCGATCGCGGCGTCGGGGGCGGGACATCCCTCGCGATCGGGCGCCATCCCGACCGGAGTGGTGTTCACCAGAATGTCCCCCTGGGCCCGATCCAGTGATGCCCACGGGGCGTGGCGGACCCCCATTTCGTCGGCAAGCGCTGCCGCCTTCCGGTCGTTGCGCGAGATCACCACCGGTTCGGCGCCGGCGCGGGTCAGCCCGTACAGGACGGCACGCGCGGATCCGCCCGCTCCCAGCACGGTGGCGCGGCGGCCTGCGAGCGGCACGACTTCCTCGAGTGACCGGACCGCGCCGATCCAGTCGGTGTTGGCTCCCCCGAATCCGCCGTTCATCGGGATGATGGTATTCACCGCCCCGATCCGGCGCGCATCGTCGTCCAGCTCATCGAGCAATGGAAGGGCGGCGCGCTTCAGCGGAATCGTCAGGTTCAGGCCGCCCACGCCGCTCAGCCGGGCGGCGACGAGAAAGTCGGCGAGTTCCCGAAGCGGAACGGCAAACGGCAGGTACGCCGCTTCGATGCCGAGGCGGCGGAAGGCCGCTTCGTGCATTGGTGGACTGAGACTCTGGCCGATCGGGCTGCCCACGACCCCGTACACCGGGACCAGGGCATGGAGGCGCCGCCCCCACCGGCGGTGCCGGGAGCGGATGTCCTTCGCGTTGAGCTGCCCGGCGGCGACCGCCGGCAGCCCTTCGGGAGGAGCGTAGGTGGAAAGCGCCGCGCCGGCCGCGCCGGCGATCACCCGCAGCGCGGCGCCCGCCTCGCCCATGGCGATCCCGATGAACGGGGTCTTCCGGGACTCCTTCTGGGACTCCTTCTGGGACTTCTTCGGGGACGATTGTCCCGAATCAGCGCATGCACCCGTTGCACGTCGCTCCACCCGGCAGCCTGAACCGCGACCTTGGTGAGGGCCGGCTGCATGGCCGCCATCCGTTCCGGAAGCGCTTCGAGGGAGGCGGGGACGCTCCGCAGGTCATGGAAGGAGGCCACCAGCCGCGCCGCGGGGGCGGCCAGCCGGAGCCGGCGGGCGTGTTCCCCGCCGCTCTCCCGGTCCGCTTCGAACTCGAGATCCAGGTAGGCCGCGCCCACCGTTTCCGGCTTCGGCAAGGAGGCGGATCCGGTCCTCTTCGCTCCCCGTGAACCGCCCGCCTTCGCTCCGCCGGCGAACGGTAACGATCAGGCGCGCCAGCAGCGGCTCCGGCAGGTCCCCGAGAATCGCTCCCACGTCGGCCAGACCCGGCGTTTCGAGGGTGTCGAGCCGCAACTCGATCAGATCGAGCGGCCCGGCCTCGGCAGCGGCGGTGTCGAGGCCGGCGCCGAGGTCCGCCACGCCCTCCCGGCGACGGTGAGCGCGAGAGGCGGTCCGAAATGCGCGGTCAGCAGGGTTTCGACCGCTTCCGCCTGGTCGGCGCTACTTGCACCCGTACTCCACAGATCGGCAACGGCGGCTTCCCGGTAGAGCGGAGTGCGCCGCTCGAGGACCATCACCGCCTCGTCCTCCGGAGGGATGCCCGGCAGGGGGGGCCGGCCGGCGCGGTGCTTGCGCCGCGCGAGCCGCTGCTTCAGGAAGGCCACCGGCGCCCGCGCCCAGTAGACGGTCCCCAGTTCCCTCAGCCTGGAAATGTTCTGCGGGGTCTCGACGATCCCGCCGCCGCAGTCCACCACCAGCCGCTCCCCGGAAATCCCCTGGAGTACCGCGCTTTCTTCTTTTCGGAACCGTTCCCAGCCGAACCGCTCGACGAACGCGGCGATCGGACCGAAGCGCGCCTCCAGCAGCTCGTCGGTGCTGATCCGCGTCCAGCCGACCCTCGCCGCGAGCTTCCGGGAGGCTCGGCTCTTCCCCGAAGCCCGGGCGCCGATCAGAACGACATTCGGGAAAGCGGCGTCACCACCGGCGGGAGTTCCGCCGGAGCCGGACTCGGCCACTACCCGTCCTCCCGGCGGGCCACCCGCGCACCCAGTTGCGACAGCGCGTCCCAAAACCCCGGAAACGACTTGGCAACCACTTCCGGATTCCCGATTCGTACTCCTGGAACCCGGAGTCCGGTAAGCGCCAGCGCCATCGCGATCCGGTGATCGCCGTGCGGATCCATCGTCCCCGGGACGAGCGCCGCTGTCCCCTCCGGTGGCTCGATTGCCAGCGCGTCGTCCTGGGTGGCCACCCGGGCCCCAAGGCGGCGGAGCCCCTCGGCCAGGGCGGCGATCCGGTCGCTTTCCTTGTGCCGCAGGTGCCCGATTCCGCCGATCCGGGTGGGGCCCTCCGCGAACGGCGCGACCGCTGCCAGCGTCGGCGCGGCGTCGGGCAGCGAGCCCATGTCCACGGTGACTCCGCGGAGGCGCCGGGCGCCCGTGACCGTTACGCGGACGCCGTCGCCGGCGGGTTCTTCCGTCACCTCGCAGCCCATCCGGCGCAGGATCTCAGAGAAGCCGCGTTCCCCCTGGGGCGACTCCGGATCGAGTCCGTCCACCGTGACGCGGCCGGGCGCGATGGCGGCGGCCGCGAAGAAGTAGCTCGCCGTGGTCCAGTCCCCCGAGATCCGGTGCTCGCCGGGCCGGTACCGCGCGCCGGCGGCGACCCGGAACCGCCGCGGTCCGGGTCGCTCCACGGCTACCCCGCAGCGGGCCATCACGCTGACCGTCAGGTCGAGGTAGGACGCCGACACCGGGTCGCTCTCCAACTCGATGGCAATCCCGCGGGCGGCGCGGGGAGCGGCGAGGAGCAGCGCGCTGGCGAACTGGCTGCTTTCCCGTGCGGCCACCCGCACCTTCCCGCCCTCGAAGCGGCCTGGGCGCACGGTAAGCGGTGCGTAACCCTTGCTGGTCTCGACATCGGCGCCGAGCGCTTCGAGCGCCGCCACCAGGCCCGCGACCGGCCGTTCCCGAATCCGGCCGCTTCCGGTGATGGTGATGGGTCCCGGCGCGGTAGCTGCCGCTGCCGTCAGAAAGCGGAGCAGCGTCCCCGACTCGCCTACCGAGACCATGGTGGCGTCCCCGGAGCCGGTGGCAGTGCCGGTGAGACCCTGATGGTCCGGTAGCCCGCGCACTTCGAGATGGTCCCCGCTGCCGTTCGTCCGGGCGCCGAGCGCTCCCACCGCCGAGATCGCGGCCCGGATGTCGTCCCCCTCCGGGACGCCGGTGAGACGGGTTCTCCCGTCGGTGAGGGCGGCGGCGATCAGGAACCGGTTCGCCTCGTATTTGCTGCCGGGAACCCGGACCGAAGCGCAGAGGGCGTCCGGCCCCGGGGCAACTTCGATCAAAGCCCGATCGCCGCGAGTCCCGAGTCCACGACGCCGGCGGGCAGGGGGAAGGAATACGCCGCCCGGCCCCGGCCGTCCCGGTTCCGCACGCGGCCAATGGCTTCCAGCATCACGAAACGCGGTTCGCCGCCGCGCGCCTTCTTGTCGCCGCCGAGCGCCGCCAGCACGCGGCCGCGTTCCACCTCGTCCGGCGGCCGGATCGGCAGGCCGACGGCATCGATCAGGGTGTGAAGCCGATCCTCGGCTTCGCGCTCCAAAAACCCCGCCGCGCGCGCCATCCGGCTCTCCGCGATCATGCCGATGGCGACCGCGGCCCCGTGCGCCAGCCGGTAGTCGGTGGCGTGCTCGAGGCCGTGGCCGATGGTGTGGCCGAAGTTGAGGACCTCGCGCAACCCGCTTTCCCGCTCGTCGGCGGCCACCACGGCGGCCTTGATCCGGACCGCGGCCGCGATGAACCGGGTCAGCGTGGCGGTCTCGCGGTCTCGAAGCGTGCCGATGCCCTTTCTCGATGTCGGCGAAGAGCTCACGGTCGCTGGTGGCCGCCATCTTGAGAGCTTCGGCGACTCCATTCAGGAACTCCGGCTCGGGCAGGGTCCGGAGGAACCCGGTATCGGCGAAGACGGCAGCCGGTTGGCGAAAGACTCCAACCAGGTTCTTCCCGTGCGCGGTGTTGATCCCGGTCTTGCCTCCCACCGAGGCGTCCACCGCCGCGAGCAGCGTGGTCGGGACCGCGATGAACGGCACCCCGCGGAGATAGGTCGCGGCCACGAACCCCGCGAGGTCGGTGACCACGCCGCCGCCGAACCCGACGATCACCGTGTCGCGGCCCAGGCGGCGGGAAAGGAGTTCGTCCTCGAGGCGCGCCTTTTCCGCGCGCGATTTCGAGTCCTCGCCCGAAGGAACCTCGAGGACGAGGGTTCGCTCCGGCAGCACGGCTGAGAGCCGATCTCCGTGGCGCCGCAGCGCCTCGGCATCGCCGATGGCGGCGATCCGGCGTTGTGGATAGCGCTCGCCGAGGAACGCGGGAAGCCCGTCGAGCGCCGCGGCTCCGACGACGATGTCGTAGGACGCGTCCTGTCCCGGTGTCTCCACCGGAACCCGGACGATCACGCTCGATCCGCCGCCCTGCCGTTCTCCGCTGGCGGCGACGCCACGCTTGCCCTGCTCCCGGACAGGAGACGCCGGCCGACCGCCTTCCCGACCTTGCGCAGGTCGCCCATCAGATTCATGAACTGGTGCGGATAGAGCGACTGATCCCCGTCGCTGAGCGCCACCGAGGGGTCGGGATGCACTTCGATGAGGAGTCCGTCGGCCCCGGCCGCGACCGCGGCCAGCGAGAGGGCCGGCACCAGCGTCTTGTTTCCCGCGCTGTGACTGGGGTCCGCGATTACCGGCAGGTGCGTTTCCTGCTTCAGTACGGCGATCGCCCCCACGTCCAGCGTATTGCGGTAGGCCGTCTCGAAGGACCGTATCCCTCGTTCACAGAGGATCACGTTGGGGTTCCCCTGCAGGATGTATTCGGTCGCGAGCAGGAATTCCCGGATGGTGTTCGCCATGCCCCGTTTGAGGATGACCGGGGTCTGGACCAGGCCCGCCTCCTTGAGGAGGTCGAAGTTCTGCATGTTGCGGGCGCCGATTCTGATCACGTCCACGAGTTCCGCGGCGGTCTCTACGTCGCGCACGTCCATGACCTCGGTCTCGACCAGCACGCCGGTCCGCTCCCGAATGCGCTTCAGGATGTGGAGGCCGTCCACTCCGAGTCCCTGGAAGGAATAGGGCGAAGAGCGCGGCTTGAAGGCCGAAGCCCGCATGATCTCGAGGCCCAGGTCCCGCAGCATGAGGGCAGAGGCCAAGCCCTGCTCCTCGCTCTCGAGCGCGCACGGCCCTCCGAAGATCACCAGGTCCTCGCTGCCGAGCTGTTGGCTTCCGATCGGAATTTGGGTGTTCGACTTGCGGTGGGTCTTGTTCGCGAGCTTGTAGGGTTTGGCGAGCCCGTAGACCTGCTGGACGCCGGGCTGGGTTCGCCAGAAGGCTTCGGTCTCCTGGGTGAGATCCCCCAGCACGTGGATCTGGTTCCGGACTTCGCCCGGATGGAGCGCCCATTCGAGGGCCTTCTCCTCGATCAGGCGCGTCAGGTGGTCCATGTCCTGCTGCGTCGCCCATTGATTCAGGATGAGCACCATGGTGGCGAAGTCGGGCGGGCGTGTCGTCATGTCAGGTCGAGAAAGTTCCGGAGTAGCTGTCGTCCCGCGGGAGTGAGAATGGATTCGGGGTGGAACTGGACACCCCAGAGCGGTGCGCTCCGGTGCCGAAGTCCCATGACTTCCTGGTCGTCGGAGCGGGCGGTTACTTCAAGCTCTCTCGGCAGCGGCTCGTCGGCGGCCAGCGAGTGATAGCGGGTGGCCTCGAAGGGGTTCTCCAGCCCGGCGAACAGTTCCTCGCCATTATGGCGCACCGGGGAGGTCTTGCCGTGGACCAGACGGCGGGCGCGGCGGATCCTGCCGCCCAGAGCCTGGACTACGGACTGGTGGCCGAGGCACACCCCGAGAATGGGAATCTCCCCGGCGAGCGTCCGCACCAGGTCCACCGAAATGCCCGCCTTCTCGGGCGAACAGGGACCCGGAGAGATCACGATCCGCTCGGGTCGAAGGTCGCGGACCTGGGCCGGAGTCAGCGCATCGTTCCGGATCACCTCCGGCCGGGCGCCCAACTCCCCAAGCAACTGCACCAGGTTGAACGTGAACGAGTCGTAGTTGTCGAGGATCAGCGTCATTACGGATCGTCCGGCAGCCTAACGGCGGTGGCGGAAATCGTCCTGCGTCCGTTCGCGGCGCGCAGCGCCGCGGGGGTGGGGTGTGGGGAGGGGTTCCGCATGGGGTGCTAGTCGAGGCCTTGGTGGGCCATGCGGAGGGCGGCGAGCACCGCAATCCGCTTTCCGGCAGCTTTCGTCGTATTCGGAGGCCGGATCGGACTCCGCTACCACGCCGCCCCCAGCCTGGAAATAGCCGACGCCGTCCTTGGCCACGAGCGTCCGGATCGCGATGGCAGTGTCGGAGGCGCCGCTGTAGGAGAAGTAGCCGACCGCGCCTCCATAGACCCCCCGGCGCTCGGTTTCCAGTTCATCGATGATCTCCATCGCGCGGATCTTGGGGGCGCCGGACAGCGTTCCGGCGGGGAAGGTCGCGCGGAGGGCATCGAACGCGTCCGTGTCGGGGCGGAGTTCTCCCCGCACCCGGGACACGATGTGCATCACGTGCGAGTACCGCTCGATGCTCATGAAGTCCTCGACCTGGACCCGGCCGTAGCTGGCGACCCGGCCGATATCGTTTCGGGCCAGATCCACGAGCATCACGTGCTCCGCGCGTTCCTTCTCGTCGGCGAGGAGTTCAGCGGCCAGGGCTACATCTTCTTCGGGAGTGCGCCCGCGAGGCCGGGTGCCGGCGATCGGGCGGGTCTCGATCGTGCCGCCCTCGGTACGGGTCATCATTTCCGGGGACGCTCCCGCGATCACCAGCCCGTCAAAGTCGAGGTAATACATGTAAGGCGACGGGTTCACCACCCGGAGCGCCCGGTAGAAGTCGAAGGGGTGGACGGTGAGCGGCGTCTCGAAGCGTTGGGAAGGGACGACCTGGATGATGTCCCCGGCGGCCACGTAGTCCTTGGCCTGGCGCACCATCTCGAGATACCGCTCCCGGCTGGTATTGGACACCGGCTCGGGAAACGGCCGGCCTCCCGAACCGCCCCCCGGAAGGCCCAGTCGGTAGGGGAGCGGCGCGCGGATTTCGCTGACGGTTGCCTCGATCTGTGCCTCGGCGGCGTCGTAGGCCTGGTCGGCCAGGCTCGCGTCGGGAACGCTGGCGTTTACCACCACCTGGATCACGTTGCGGGCGCGGTCGAAGACCAACACGCTGTCGGCCAGCAGGAACATCGCATCGGGAAGACCCAGCGAGTCCTCGACGCTTTCCGGGAGACGCTCGAAGCGACGTACCGCGTCGTAGGCCAGATAGCCGACGAAACCGCCGTGGAAGGGGGGCAGACCCTCGATGTTCGCGGGGACCACGTCCTGAAGTACGTCCCGGAGCGCCGACAGGGGATCCGCGCTCTCGGTGGTTTCGGTCCGGCCGTCGCGCAGATAGCGGCGCTTGACCTCGTTTCCCCGGCTCTCGACAATGACTCGCGGCCTCGATCCCAGAAACGAATAGCGGGCGACGCTCTCGCCGCCTTCGACCGATTCCATCAGGAACGCCGGGCCGCGGTTCCCTACCCGGAGGAAGGTGGACACCGGGGTGTCGCAGTCGGCGAGGATTTCCCGCCGGACCGGAATCAGGTTCGCCCGTTTCGCGAGCGCGCGGAAGTCGGAACGGGAAGGGAGGTACAAGGGGCCACCACGGAGGGCGGGGGCATCTTAGTCGGGCTGCCAACTCCAGGAGCGCCGGTCTTCAGACCGGCATCGCGGCCGTAGGCCGCGAAACTCACGCTCTCGTCCACGCTTGTTGCGTGGACCTGGGCGGGGACGGCGAAACACCCTCCCGGGCCAACGCAAACAACCCAGGAGCGCATGGAGCGCCGGTCTTCAGACCGGCATCGCGGCCGTAGGCCGCGAAACTCACGCTCTCGTCCACGCTTGTTGCGTGGACCTGGGCGGGGACGGCGAAACACCCTCCCGGGCCAACGCAAACAACCCAGGAGCGCATGGAGCGCCGGTCTTCAGACCGGCATCGCTGCCCGGAGGGCCGCGAAACTCCAGGAGCGCCGGTCTTCAGACCGGCATCGCGGCCGTCGGCCGCGAAACTCACGCTCTCGTCCACGTTTATTGCGTGGACCTGAGCGGGGACGGCGCTGCACTCGCTCCGAGTCCCAGCCCCCTCCCCCTGCCGCGGCAGCGCACCGGCGACGGGCACTGCCGGAGCAGCCGGAGCGGCAACTCCTCTTCGCTGGGTGTTGCCGCTCCTTCTGCCGTAGTCCGCCGGTCCAGGAGCCCTAACATTCAACCCATGGATCTCGAGGCTCTGAGGGCCGCACTCGAAGCGGTGGATCAGGAAATCCTGGACGCCTGGGCGCGGCGGGACGCCCTCACCATGGCGATTGGCCGGTTCAAGGAGGCCGCCGGCCGGCCGATCCACGACGCCGCGCAGGAAGAGCGGGTCCTGGAGCGCGCGCGATCTCACGCGGCGGCAAGGGGCATCCCGGGAGACCTGGCGGCGGAGCTGGCCGCGCTGCTCATGCGTTCCTCGCTCGGCCGGCAGGAAGACATCCGCGTCCGGGCGCAGGGACGGGGGGCCGGCCGCCCGGCGCTCGTCATCGGCGGCGGCGGCCGCATGGGCCGGTGGTTCTGCCGCTTGCTCGCTGCCCAGGGATACGACGTGCGGGTGGCCGATCCGGTTGGCGGACCGCCCGGCGTTCCTACCGCTGCCGATTGGCGGGACACTCCGGATGACTTCGCCCTGACCGTGGTCGCGGCGCCGCTCCAGAGCAGCGTCGAGGTGCTCGAGGGAATCGGCGCGAAAAAGAGAAAGGGCCTCATCTTCGACATCGCGTCCGTCAAGTCGCCCATGGCGCGGGCGCTCTCGGGCGGCGGCGGAAAACGGCTGCCGGATCGCTTCGGTGCACCCCATGTTCGGGCCCGACGCCCACGTCCTGCACGGCTGTCACGTCCTGGTCATGGATGTCGGCCACCCCGAAGCCGCCGAAGAAGCGGCCGGCGTGTTCGCCGGCACGATGGCCGAGATTCTGCGAATGCCGCTGGCCGAACACGACCCGCTGATCGCCTACGTCCTCGGGCTTTCCCACGCGCTGAATCTGGCGTTCCTGACCGCGCTGCAGGACAGCGGGGAGCAGGCGCCCCGTCTCGCCCGCCTGTCGAGCGTGACGTTCGATCGCCAGCTAAAGGTGGCGGCGGCGGTAGCCGGGAAACCCCCACCTCTACTACGAGATCCAGCGCGAACCCGCACGGACCGGCAGCGATCCATAACCTCGCGGGCGCCGTTTCGCGTCTCGCGGCAGTCATCCACGACGACGACGAAGAGGCCTTCGTCAGGCTGATGAAGGCCGGCCGGGAGTACGTATCCGGCCGGAGTTGATTCCGAGCGGAGGTCAGGACCTTCCGAGCAGATCCCGGAGCGTGTGGACGGCGCGCACGGCTTCCGCTCCGGTGGCGAAAGCGCGCGGCCGGAACATCCCCTCGTCCGAAACCCTCAGCAGCCCGAGCTTCGTAGCGATGGTTGCGGCCTCGCGATAGCGGTGGCCGGCGGACACGTCGTTCAGTTCCAGCCGGGAAGAATCGTCCAGCGCCCGGCGTCGAGCCTCCGGGTCGAACCTTCCGAACGCGGCCGCCAGCGACTCCGCGAGTTCGGCGCGCGTCACGAGGCCACGGGGCTTGAAGGTGTGGTCGGGGTAGAGGCGGAGGTAGCCGGCGCCGACCGCCGTCTGGATCAGGCTGGCGGCCCAGGTCCGCTCGAGATCGATCGCGATGACCGGGTCCGCGGAGCGGGAGCCGTCGCCTTCGGGTTCACCGATCTCGGCCGCCAGCAGCGCGGCGAGTTGTTCGCGGGTGACCCGTTCCGCTTCGCGAATCCTCGCGTAGCGCTCCGAAAGCCTCGCCACCTCGAGGCGACGCTCCAGATCTGCGGCGCGGTCCAGCAGATCGGTGAAGCCGCGCACGGCGGGATCCCCGAGAATCTGGTCGAGACGGGTCATGCTCTCCGTGAACCGCCGCTCATCAACCAGCAGCTCGGCGGCGGTCAACCCCGCGACCAGTGCCTGCCGCTTGCTCGCGGAGGGATTTGCGGCGACGGCCTCGAACCACTCGCGCGCGCTTTGGCCGTCTCCGGTCGCGGCGGCGGCCTCGGCGGCTTCCAGGAACAGGTCGGCGGAGTCCGGCATCGCCTCCAGCGCCGCCCGGTAGGCCTCGACGACCGGCGGACCCTGCGCGTCAGAACGCGCAAGTTCGCGGGCGTGCGCGAGACGGTTTTCCGCTACTTCCAGGGCCAGTCCCGGCAGTCTCTCCGAGACCACGGAGGCGTCGGGGTCCAGTTCCGACAGCCGCTGCAGTCGGGTGAAGAGCAGTTCCGGATCCTCTGTGTCGAGAACCAGGAGGACGCGCCCGAGTACGGCGAGGCGGTCCCCAGGCGATGCCGCGAGCGCCTGCTGAAAGAGTTCGCCCGCTCCCGAGGTGTTCCCGCTTCGGAGGGCCAAAAACCCGGTGGCCGAAGCAACGCCCGGGTCCTCGGGAGCCATGGCCCGGAGCGGCGTGAGTTGCAGATCGGCCTCGCCCAGCCTCCCCGCCACGATGAGGGCCCAACTCTCCCCCAGTTCGCGCGCCGCCGCTTCGGAGAGCCCGGGTCCGGGAACGGGCGCCCGGCCCTCCACGTACGCCCAGCCATCCAGGGGAACTACGGGGATCTCGGGCACGGGCCGGGAGGCGCAACCGGTGGCGGACCACAAACCGGCCAACAACATGGCGACCCATCCGTGGGCACGCGGTCGGGTCTTCGCGGCGGGATGTCTCGATGCTCCGAACACCCTTTCGAGTCTAACCCCGACAACAACGTCCGGCCGGCAAAACTAGAATGCGCCGATGCGGACTCTCGCCCTTTCCCTGACCCTCGCCCTCGCAGTTCCGGCTTTCGCCACCGCGCAGAGCAGCGATGCGGAGCGCCGCATCCTCGAACATGTGCGCGACACGATGCAGCCCGGAGAACGTCTCCTCCTTTCGGCGCTCGTCGAGCGCTTCCAGGCGCCCGACGAACAGCGGGCGCTCGACCGGCTGAACGACGTGTTCTTCCGGACGCCGCTCTTCATTCTCGAGTTCGAGGGACGCGAAGGGAGGCTTCCGACGCTGACCGAGATTGCCGGCCAGTTTTCGCTCTACGGCGACGAAGCGGCCGACATCGTGCTCCGGATCATGGAGTCCGACCCACGGGTTCCGAAGTTCCTGGTCCGCGGCGCGGACGGCAACCTCGCCTCCATCGACGAGGAAATGATCCGGGCCGACGAGAGGTTCGCGCGTGCAGTGACCCGGAGCCTCACGGGCTGGGAAGGCCGCACCCTTCCGGAGGTTGCCGGGGAAAGCTTCGGCGGCGCAGCGACCGCGGTTGGCGACCTGATGAACGACGCGACGCTCGTGTACGTGTGGTTCACCAACTGTCCTCCCTGTGTCCAGATCGCCCCGGTGCTCCAGGCGCTTCATCAGGATCTTGCGGACGAGGGACTCACCATCGTCGGGCTGAATGCCGACCGGGTGCTCAAGCTGCCCTACACCGATGACGATCGGGCGGCGCACCAGGAGAAGGGTGGCGTCACGTTCGAGAACCTCCATCTGACTGTGGAGCACCGCGCCGCCCTCGGAAACGTGAACATCTTTCCGACCCTGTTCCTGGTGGGCCGCGATGGAACCATCGCGCGTCATTTCGTGAACTTCCAGCCGCGGGAGACACTCGAACCGGCCATCCGGGAACTGCTGCAGTAGAGCTTGCCGTCGCCCGAAGGCGGCGGAGCTACCGGACGGAGGGGCGGTTACGCCCGCCATCCGGCGTGGATGGAGGTGGCGGCCCGCCTGTTTGGCGGGGGATGCGGGCCGAGGGGCTGGAGTGAAGTCTTCGTCGAGGGTGTTTTTACTTGACAAGAAGGCACTCACATCTTATATTTCAGCCTAACTAAGGACTTGGCGTTCCGGTCCCGGGTCCCCTTCTTTTCAGGAGTTCTGAACACGTATGAGCAAGATCATCGGCATTGATCTGGGGACTACCAACTCGGTGGTCGCCGTGATGGAGGGTGGCCAGCCCGCCATCATCCCGAACGCCGAAGGTGGCCGCACCACCGCCTCGGTAGTAGGCGTCTCGAAATCCGGCGAGCGCTTGGTGGGCGAAGTCGCAAAGCGGCAGTCGATCACCAACGCCGCGCAAACGGTGTTTTCCATCAAGCGGTTCATGGGCCGCCGTTTTTGATGAGTCTGCCGACGAACGTGATTCCGCCTCGTATCAGGTGGAGCGGAAGGACGACGGCGGCATCGAGGTGCTCCTCGGGGGCAAGAAGTACACGCCGCCGCAAATCTCGGCGATGGTGCTGCAGAAGATGAAAGCCTCCGCCGAGGCTTACCTCGGCGAAACCGTAGAGCGGGCCGTGATCACGGTCCCTGCCTACTTCAACGACGCCCAGCGCCAGGCTACCAAGGACGCCGGCGAGATCGCCGGGCTGGAGGTCGTGCGCATCGTCAACGAGCCCACCGCCGCCGCTCTCGCCTACGGACTCGAAAAGCAGAAGAGCGAGAAGATCGCGGTGTACGACTTCGGCGGCGGAACCTTCGACATTTCCATTCTCGAAGTCGGCGAGGGAGTGGTCGAGGTCCGCTCCACCAACGGGGACACGTACCTCGGCGGCGACGACCTCGACAAGCGGGTGATGGACTGGATCGTCGCGGAGTTCAAGAAGTCCGACGGCATCGATCTCAGCGCCGACCGGATGGCGCTCCAGCGGCTCAAGGACGCAGCGGAGAAGGCCAAGATCGAGCTCTCCACCACCCATGAGACCGAGATCAACCTCCCCTTCATCACGGCCGACGCTTCGGGGCCGAAGCACCTCGCGCTCACCCTGTCGCGCGCCCGGCTCGAGGCCCTGATCGGGGACCTCCTGGAGCGGACCCGGAAACCCAGTCTGCAGGCGCTCGAAGATGCGGGCCTTGCGGGGGGATCGATCGACGAAGTAGTGCTGGTCGGGGGCTCCACCCGGATTCCCCGGGTTCAGGAACTCGCCAAGGAGATCTTTGGGGCCGAGCCGCACCAGGGTGTGAACCCGGACGAGGTGGTCGCATTGGGCGCCGCGATCCAGGCGGGAGTGCTCGCCGGCGACGTCAAGGATCTGCTGCTGCTGGACGTGACGCCGCTTTCCCTCGGGATCGAGACCCTGGGCGGCGTCTTCACCTCCCTGATCAAGCGCAACACCACGATCCCGCACCGGGCGAGCGACGTTTTCTCCACGGCGAGCGACAACCAGACCCAGGTCGAGGTCCACGTCCTTCAGGGCGAACGCGCCATGGCGGCCGACAACCGCACGCTCGGAAAATTCAATCTGGTCGGCATTCCGCCGGCTCCCCGCGGGGTGCCCCAGATCGAGGTGTCGTTCGACATCGACGCGAACGGCATCGTGAACGTTTCGGCCAAGGACCGGGCCACGGGCAGGGAACAGGCCATCACGATCACGGCCTCGAGCGGTCTCTCGAAGGACGAGATCGAAACCATGAAGACGGAAGCGGCCTCCAACGAGGAGACCGACAAGCAGCGTCGCGAAGAGGTCGAGTTCCGCAACGCAACCGATTCCCTCGCCCATCAGGTCGAGAAGATGCTGAACGAGAATCGCGACAAGATCGGAAGTTCGGACGCCGAGGAGATCGAAAAAGCCCTGGCGACGGTCCGCGCCGCGCTCGCTGACGGCGATATGGACCGAATCCGGACCGCGCGCGGCGAGGTGGAGAAGGCGAGCCACCGGCTGGCGGAACTGATGTACCAGAAGACTGCCGATTCCGGCGACGCTGCGGCGGACCCCGCCGCCCCGCCGCCGCCCCCTCCACCGGGAGGAGAAAAACGCAAGGGCAACGGGGCCGCGGATGACATCATTGATGCGGAGGTAGTGGGCGAGAACTGATCGCCAACCGTCTCCTCAACAACTCGGCGCCCATGCCCCCGCCTGCCGACTACTACGCGGTACTGGGGGTTGGGCGCGAGGCCGATCCGGTGCGTATCCGCCAGGCGTACCGGCGGCTCGCCCGGCGCCTGCACCCCGATCTGAACCCCAACGACCGCGTCGTCGAGGAGCGTTTCGGGACAGATCCAGCGGGCCTTCGAGGTGCTGGGGGATACCGAGCGCCGCGCCGAATACGACCGCCGTGGCGGCGCGGAGCCGACCCCCGTGCGGGTCCAGCGCGTTCACTACGGTTTCGCCGGGTTCGACTTCGGCGAGGAGCCCGCGAAGGAAGAGTGGGCCCTCCACGAGATTCTCGGCAGCTCCGAGCGGGCCGAATCCGGATCCGCCGAAACCGATCCCGACATCCATGCCCGGGTGCGGGTTTCCTTCGTCGAATCGCTGGAGGGGAAGCAGATCCGGCTCCTGATCAGTCGGCGCGAGACGTGCGGCGCGTGCGGAGGCCGGGGTGAGCGTCCGGTCGGGGAAGCCACTCCTCAGGGGATCGAATGCAGCGCCTGTCGCGGCGCCGGCCGGCGGCTCCGGCGCTACGGCCACATGGTGTTCGCCCGTCCGTGCCGCCGCTGCGGCGGGCAGGGGCTGTTGTTTCATACCGCCTGCTCTACCTGCACCGGGCGCGGGAGCCGGATCCGTGCGGTCCGGGTCGTCGCCCGGGTTCCGGCCGGCGCGGCCGATGGAGCGACCGTGGTTGTGGAAGGACAGGGGCACGAGCGGCTACCCGGCGAACCACCGGGAGATCTTCGGTTGCACGTTGAGGTAGCCGCCCATCCGGTTCTCGAACGCCGCGGCGACAATCTCATCTGCCCGCTGCCGCTGACCCTCGCGGAGGCCTCGCTCGGAGGACGCATCGAGGTGCCGACGCTCTCCGGCAACGTGATCGTCCGGCTGCCGCCGGGAGTCCAGCCCGGCACCCGATTGCGCCTCGCCGGACGCGGGGTTCCTTCCATCCGCGGTGACGGCCGCGGCGACCTCTTCCTCGAGGTTCGGATTCACATCCCCGAGATCCGCGACGATCGGTCCCGGGATCTCGTTCGGGAGCTGGAGCAGCGCTATCCGGAGTCGCCTCGCGAGGCGCTCCGTGAGAAGCTTCGCCTCTAGGAGTCTGTCCCGGTAATCTCATGGCATTCGACAGCCGATACATCCCGGCTGAACCGCTTCGCTCTTCGTTGCGCTTCGGTCGAAAGAGCGCTGCGCCAGTTCTCCCGGTGGGGGCTCCTCCCTCGCGCGCCTTGTCAGCCGGGCGCCTCGACCGTCTCGGTGCTCACGACATTACCGGGACAGACTCCCAGCAATCCCCATGAGCGCCGAGCGACGCAAGGGCGTCTACATGATCAGCGCGGTCGCCGAACTGTTCGAGATTCATCCGCAGACCCTTCGCCTCTATGAGCGCGAGGGCCTCCTCCGCCCGTCGCGCACCGAGGGGAACACCCGCGTCTATACCGATGACGATCTGGAACAGCTCCAGACCATCCTCAACCTGCGGGAACTCGGAGTGAATCTGGCCGGGGTGGACATCATTCTCAACATGCGGGGGAAGATGCAGCGCATGCAGGAAGAGATCACCCAGTTCACCGAGTTCATTCATCGGGAGCTCTCGCGGGAGGACAACGCGCTGAGTGAACGGGCCAAGAACGCCTTGGTGCGCCTGCCGCGCAGAGACATGGTTCCGGCCGGTTCCCGGCCGCCAAGTTCGAACTCGCCCGGTTCGAACTCCCCCGGTTCGAACTCGCCCGGTTCGAATTCCGATGCCGGGTCCGCTCCCGGCGTCTCCCCGTCCCGTTCCCGAAGTTCGTAGGACACGACTCCAATGGTGCGGCCGGCCGGGTTCGATCTTTTCCGATCGTCGTAGGGGAAGCGTTGCTTGCCAGCAGCCCCGACCTGTCCCGATTGCGGGGACACCGGGTGGAAGCCGACCTCCCGGGCGGACGGGTCCCCCGCGGTGTTGGCGTGCGGCTGCAAGAACGCGACGTGGGTGCCGCGGCGGCTCGAAGACATCGGCGTGCCGGCGCGTTACGCCGCAGCGAAGCGCTTCGATACTTTCGACGAGATTTCCGGTTCGCCGCAGCGCACCAAGGAGATCGTCCGCAAGTGGGCCGATTCCTATCCCGACGTCAAGGCGGGGCTGCTGCTCAGCGGTCCGGCCGGGATCGGCAAGACCCACCTTGCGGTAGCCGCCCTCCACCACATCCTCTTCGAGCGGCAGATCGCCGTCCGCGCGCGCTTCGAGGATTTGCCGCGGTTGCTGAGCGAGTTGCAGGGCACGTGGAAGGACCCTTCGCTGACCGAGGAAGCCCGGCTCACCCCGGTGACGCGCGCGGAGATCGTGGTGCTCGATCAACTGGGCGGCGGAATGGGGAACCCGCGGTTGGAAGAGAGGCTCCTCTACATCCTGAACCGGTGTTTCCACACCGGTGGTTTCCTGATCTGCACCACGGCGTTCCCCATTCGGGCCGCGAGGCTCGAGAAAGGTCTGGCCGAGCAGATCACGGTCCGAGGCGTTTCTCTGTTGCGAGAGGCCTGCCGCTTCGTCGAGATGCGGGGAGAGGACTATCGCGATAAGGTCATTACTCCGGGGCGGAGCCTCTGAGGGCTCAACACTCCAATACCCGAAGGAGATTTCAGGTCATGCGCACCCTTCTCACCACCCTCGTCCTTTCCGTGGGTCTGCCGCTTCTGGGATTCGCCCAGAGTCCGGAGCCCGACAAGCCGCGCCCGATTCCGATCCGGGACAGCGTCTTCATTGAGGATCTCACCTGGATGGAAGTCCGCGACCTGATCGCGGACGGCAAGGACACCGCCATCGTCGCGAGCGGCGGGATCGAGCAGAACGGCCCGTATCTGGTCACTGGCAAGCACAACGTGCTGCTGCGCGGCACAACCGAAGCGATCGCCCGGGATCTCGGGAACGCGCTGGTGGCCCCGATTCTCAAGCTGGTGCCCGAAGGCGACTTCGATCCTCCCACCGAGATGATGCGTTTTCCCGGCACCGTCGGGCTCAGCCAGGAGACTTTCCGGGCGGTGTTGCGGGACGTTGCCCGCAGTCTCAGGGCGAGCGGCTTTCAGCACATCATCTTCCTCGGCGACAGCGGCGGAAACCAGGCCGGGATGACGGCGGTCGCGGAGGAAATGCACGCCGAGTGGAGCGGGTCTCCCGGCGTCCATTTCATTCCCGAGTTCTACGATGTGAGGGGCCTCCGGACCTGGCTCTCCGATAACGGCATCAAGGAGGAGCCGGAGGGCCTTCACGACGAATTCGCGATGGCCGCGATGATGGCGGCGGTGGATCCGGACTCCATCCGGACCTCGGAGCGCCGGCAGGCCGGTCTCTTCCGGATCAACGGGGTGGAGCTGGACCCGCTGGACGAAACCCGCGCCTGGGGCATGCGCCTCTTCCGCTACCGCTCGGAAGTGACGGTGAAGGCGATCCGGGCCGCGATCGCCGCCCACGCGACGAACTAGGCGGTCCGGAAGGGGGGCGTTTGGCTGGGCGCCCTGCGAACGTCGATTCGTCGATCGGAAGGCCCCCCACACTTTCCCCCCGGTCACGCAGACGGCGAACCTTCGGTTCGCCGTCATTTCTTTGGCTCGGCCAGGTATGCGCCGCCTGCACGGGAGCGCCGGTCTTCACGAAGTTCGCGAATCCTGAGGGAGACGCCCGCTTCGTCCGGATGCCGGGAGACAACTATCGCGATATGGTCATCACTCCGGGGCTGAGCGTCTGAGCGTTCACTCCGACGTACAACCGAAGGAGATTTCAAGTCATGCGCACCCTTCTCACCGCACTCGTCCTTGCCGTGGCAATGCCGATTCTGGGATTCGCCCAGAATCCGGAGCCCGACAAACCGCGTCCGATCCCGATCCGGGACAGCGTCTTCATCGAGGATCTCACCTGGATGGAAGTGCGCGACCTGATCGCGGATGGCAAGGACACCGCCATCGTCGCGAGCGGCGGCGTCGAGCAGAACGGACCCTATCTGGTCACCGGCAAGCACAACGTGCTGCTCCGCGGTGTCACCGAAGCGATCGCCCGGGACCTCGGGAACGCACTCGTGGCCCCGATTCTGAAATTGGTGCCGGAAGGCGACTTCGACCCCCCCACGGGTCACATGCGCTATCCGGGGACCATAGGTCTCAGCCAAGAGACGTTCCAGGCCGTGGTGCGGGATGTTGCCCGCAGTCTCAAGACCAGCGGTTTCCAGCACATCATCCTGATCGGGGACAGCGGCGGCAACCAGGCCGGCATGAAGGCGGTCGCCGAAGAGCTCACTGCCGAGTGGAACAACAGTCCGGGCGTCCATTTCATCCCCGAGTACTACGACTACCAGGGGCTCCAGACCTGGCTTTCCGAGCGCGGCGTGGAACAGACGCCCGAGGGAATTCACGACGACTACGCGATCACCTCGATGATGGCGACCGTGGATCAGAACTCGGTCCGCACTTCCGAGCGCCGTCAGGCCGGTCTCTTCTCCATCAACGGCGTGGACATCGACCCCTTGGACCAGACCAAGGCGTGGGGACGCCAACTCTTCCGCTACCGCTCGGAAGTGACGGTGAAGGCGATCCGGGCCGCGATCGCTTCGCACGCGACGAACTAGGCGGTACGGAGCGCCGGTCTTCAGACCGGCATCGCGGCCGAAGGCCGCGAAACTCCCGCCGCCATGCTCGCTGATCCACCGGGCCTGACCGGGGACGGCGAAACGCCATGGGGGACGCGTGGGTGGCGTCGCGCCATCCCCGTTGCGCGCAGTGCCATGCGGGGAATAGCGACGGGAATTTCGCCCCGCTGCGCGAGGCGATGCCGGTGTGAACACCGGCGCTCCTGAAGCGAATGGCGTCGGGCCATCCCCGTTGCGCGCAGCGACATCCGGGGAATGGAGTAGGGGAGTTTCGCCCGCTGCGCGGGCGATGCCGGTCTGAAGACCGGCGCTCCTGCGATCGCGAGACTCACGCAGCCCGTTCCCTCCGTCCCGTCTCACCCCCTCACCGGGTGACAAAGTTCGTGTCGTTTTGACGAGGAGCGGGTGGCGTCGCGCCATCCCCGTTGCGCGCAGCGACATCCGGGGAATGGAGTAGGGGAGTTTCGCCCGCTGCGCGGGCGATGCCGGTCTGAAGACCGGCGCTCCTACCCCTGTGGTCCCGCTTACCCGCGCTTCTGCTTCGGACCTTTCTTCAGGATCGCCGCGCGCCGCGCCTTGGATTCCTCGGAGAACCAGGTGTCCAGGAACTGCTCCCGCTTGGGCGCGCGCTCTAGCGCCGCCCGGTCGGCGAACTCGGCGCGAAGTTCGCGTTTCGTGTGCGCGTAGGCCTCTCGCGGCAGCGCGCCCAACTCCTCGGCCCGCTCCACCGCCCGCTCCAGGAGGGCCTCCGCGGACCCGAGTTCGTGCAGGAACCCGTTCGTGACGGCGTCCTCGGGGCCGGTGAGCCGGCCGCGCAGCAGGACTTCGGCGGTCCGCGCCGCTGGGATGGCCGCGCGAAGCACTTCGAAGGCGGTTGCCGGGAAGATGACCCCGAGCTGTACCTCCGAGACTCCGACGCGGTAGCTGCCGACGGCTCCTATCCGAACATCGCAGGCAGCCGCCAGGATGGCGCCTCCCGCCACCGCGTGACCGTTCACCGCGGCGACCGTAGGGCAGGGGAAAAGGAAGAGCCGCCGCATCAGGTCGTCGAACGCGTCGACGAACCCGCCCATCTCCTCCCTTTCCCTGGGGAGCCCCGCGAGGTCGAGCCCGGCCGAAAAGAAACGGCCGTTGCCGGTCAGCACCAGCGGCCGGCCGCTTCGTTCCGCCTCATCGAGGCTCGCGGCCAGACTCGCGACCAGCGCCGGATCGAGAGCGTTGGCGGGGCCGTGTCTCATGGCGACCACCAGGGCCGCGGGCGCAGTCGTCACGGCGCGGCTAGCAGCCCGTGGTGAAAGCACCCCGCACGAGCCCCAGGAGGTCGCGCGCGGCGAATCCGTCGGTTTGTGTGCGTGCGGGGCGCTTTCCCCACGGGTTGGTGGTGCGAATCGCTGCGCGATTCGCACCACCATCTTTCGCGGGGAGGGGAAACCCCTCCCCACACCCCACCCCCGCGGCGCTGCGCGCCGCGAATGGATGCCTTCCGGGTTTCACCACAGGCTGCTAAGCGGGTGTGCGGGCGGGTTTGCGGATGATTCGCTACTCGAGTCCGGCCAGGACTTCCATCAGCGGCTCGTAGTCGTCACGGATCTGGTAGTCGTAGTTGGCGTAGCGGAGAACGCCCTCGCGATCGATCACGAAGGTCGCGCGGGAGGCGTAGGTCGCCCCGTTGATCTCAAGCGGCTTCACTCCGTAGGCCCCCACCACTTCCGACTGGCGATCGGAGAGCAGGACCAACCCCGGCAGCTCGTCCGGCGCGGCCGGCTCTACCTGCATGCCGGAGTCCTTGCCGACGCTTTGCAGCCAATTCCACTGGGAGTACGGCGTATCGACGCTGATTCCGAAGACCTGGGTTTCTGCATCCAGAAACTTCTGGATGTCGTCCTTGTAGGACGAAAACTGAAGCGTTCAACCACCCGTCCAATCGGCCACGTAGAACGCCAGGACGATGTTCTTCTTTCCCAGTGCGGCCTGCAGATCGAGCTTCACCGCGCCGGCCGATTCGCCCGCGGTCGAGGGCAGCGGATTCGGGAACATGGGAGCCTTGTCTCCCACCCTGAGTGAGACGTCCTGCGCCACGGCCTCAGGCGTTCCCGCGACCGTTGCCAACCCCGCGCCGAGCCCGAGGGCCAGAGCTCCGGACAGCCACCGTGACAACCGCCAATTCGAGTGGCGGCTGGAAATGTGTCGCATGGGGAACCTCCCTCGGCTGCACCATTGATTTCGGAGTGGGGATCATGCCCGCTGGCCATGCCCGCCGCAAGAGCGGCGGCTCGCCCGGAGGCCCCGGACTCCTTCCGGCGGCCCTCCGCCGCACGAACGGGGTGCCGACGGTGCTATTCTGAGTCGGTTTGGTTCCGTTCCAGAAAGGCTTTCACCAACAGTGACTCTTGCGTTCCGCGTCCGCATTGAGGCCGAAGTGCGGGCACTCGAGCAAGAACTGCATCTGCACCTTCCCAAACAGATCAAGGAAGCTCGCGAGCACGGCGACCTTTCCGAAAACGCGGAGTACGAAGCCGCGAAGGACCGCCAAGCCTTCGTGGCCGTCCGTCTCGCGCAACTCAAGCGACGTCTCGCGGATCTGTCCATGGTGAGCCTGGACAACATTCCGGCGGATCGCGTGTCGCTCGGCAGTGAGGTCGTGGTGGTGGACCTGGACACCCAAGCGGAGTCCCGGTACGAACTGGTGGTCAGCGAGGAAGCGGACGCCTCGGTCGGCAAGGTTTCCACCGGATCTCCGATCGGCAGGGCGCTCATGGGAGCCCGGGTGGGAGATGAGGTGAACGTCCACACGCCGGCGGGAGAGCGGGAGTTCGCGATCCGCGAACTCCGCACCATTCACGAGCGGAAAGCCTCCTGAGAGTGCGGTCGTCCGAGACCTCCGTCCTTTCGCTGGTCGGGGTGTGCCTTGCCGTCTGCGCCGCGCCGTCGGCTTCGGCGGCGGCTCCGGACGTCCATCAGGTGGACGTGGTGGACATCATCCATTCGGTATCGGCGGGTCAGGTGGTCGCCACCATTTCCGCAGCCGAAGAAGCGGGCGCCGGGCTCGTACTGATCCGGCTCGACACCCCCGGCGGCCTCGACACCGCGATGCGGGAGATCATCGAGGCGATCCTGAACAGCGAGGTGCCGGTGGCCGTCTTCGTCGGTCCCGCCGGCTCCCGGGCCGCATCCGCCGGATACCTGATCACCCTGGCCGCCGACATCTCGGGGATGGCGCCGGGCACCAACATGGGAGCGGCCACCCCGATTTCCGGGACCGGCGGCGAGATGCCCGAGACCCTGAGCCGGAAGGTCGAGTCCGATGCCGCCGCCTACCTCCGGTCGATCGCCGAGCGCCGTGGACGCGACGTCGCGCTTGCCGAGCAGGGGGTGACCGAGGCTCGAAGCTGGACGGCGTCCGAGGCGCTGGAGGCCGGTCTGATCGACCTCATGGCTGGCGACACCGAGGAGTTTCTGGCTGCGATCCACGGCCGGACGGTTACCCGGATCGACGGCTCCGAGGTAATGCTCGATACCGCCGACGCGATCGTCGTGCTGACCGAAATGAGCTTCCGCGATCGGGCTTTGTCGGTGATCGCCAACCCGAATCTGGCCGTGCTGCTGGGAATGATCGGCCTGCTCGGCCTCTACCTCGAATTTTCGAACCCCGGCCTGCTTATCCCGGGGATTCTGGGGGGCATCGCGCTGCTGCTGGCGGCTTTCGGACTCAACTTCCTGCCGGTCAGTCTCCTCGGGGTGCTCTTGCTCCTCGCTGGCATCGGTCTGCTCACCGCCGAGGCGCTCACTCCGTCATTCGGCATAATGGGGTTGTCGGGAGCGGTCGCCCTCACGATTGGACTCCTCTTTTTCTTCGAAGAGCAATCCCTTCCGACACCCGCACTGAACTTGACTTGGGGCCTCGTCATTCCGTCCGTCCTGGTCTTCGTGGGCCTGGTGTTCTTCCTGGGCCAGTTGGTGGTCCGCGCCCAGAAGAGCCCCGCGGTAAGCGGCCGGGAGGGCATGATCGGTTTGGTGGCCACCGCCTACACCGACATCAGCCCCGGCGGCGCCGGCAAGGTATTCGTCCACGGCGAGTTCTGGGATGCCACCTCCGCCGGCGCGGTCAGCGAGGGTGAGCGCGTGCGGGTCCTCGCCCTCCTGGAGGGGTTGACCCTCCAAGTAGGCTCCGCCGCCGCACCGGGCCCGGACGGCGCCCGTGACGAGTAATCTCTCCGCCTAATCTCTCCGCCGTCTTCGAAACAAGGAGCTGAATCATGTTCGGACTTTCCCTGGGAGCTCTGGTCGCCGTCGCATTCGCGGCCATCTTCATCCTCAACTGGATCAAGGTCCTGAACGAGTACGAGCGCGCCGTTGTCTTCCGGTTCGGCAAGCTCCTTCCGGCCACCAAGGGGCCGGGCCTCGTTCTGGTCTTCTCCCCCATCGATCGGATGGTGCGGGTAAGCCTCCGCCTGGTGGCCTTCGATGTGCCGCCGCAGGACATCATCACCCGCGACAACGTCTCGGTGAAGGTGAACGCCGTGCTGTTCTTCCGGGTGGTGGACCCCACCCGGGCGATCATCGAAGTCCAGGACTTCCTGTATGCCACCTCGCAGCTTGCGCAGACCACGCTCCGCAGCGTGCTCGGCCAGGTGGAGCTGGACGATCTCCTCTCGCAGCGCGACCAGATCAACATCCGGTTGCAGGGGATCCTCGACAAGAGCACCGACCCCTGGGGCATCAAGGTGGCCTCGGTTGAGGTCAAGCATGTGGACCTGCCCACCGACATGACCCGGGCGCTTGCCCGGCAGGCCGAAGCGGAGCGGGAGAAGCGGGCCAAGGTCATCCACGCGGAAGGCGAGTTCCAGGGCCTCGGGGCAGCTCGCCAAGGCCGCCGCAATCGTGGGCGAGCACCCCTTGGGCGTCCAGCTCCGCTATCTCCAGACGCTTACCGAAATTGCCACGGAGAAGAACTCGACGATCATCTTTCCCCTCCCGCTCGATTTGGTGAAACCCTTCCTCGAGACGCACTGGAGTAGCGGGGGTCCCTCCAAGGACTGACGCCGTAGCTGTCCGGCTCCGCCGATAAAGCCGCGTTAGATTTGCGTCCCGGAAACCTCAAGTATCGCTTTAGAAAATCCCCGTAACTTCTGCTAGGGTGACGGCATGGGGTGCGGGGAGGCGCCGTTCCGGTGCCTGGGCGCCCCACCCAACCGGAGGGATTTCTGATGCACGGCCAACACGACAGCGATCACTACGACGTCCAGTTCACGACGCGGCAACTGGTGTTGATGTTCGGCCTGCTCATCGTGATCGTAGTGGGCGTTTTCGTGGGGGGGATCGTCATTGGACGCGGGATGGCGCCCGGTGCGGCGGACGCGGTGATGGCCCGTCGCACAAACCCGGTTCCGGTGCCCGCGCCGGCGCAGACTCCCGCCGTCGCCGTCGCCGAGGCGCCCGCGGAAGACGCGCTTCGCCTCCCCATCCGGTCCGAGCCGCAACCCGCCGCCGGGACGCCGGAGCGCGCTCCGGTTCGGCAGGCGGCTTCGCCGGCCGCCTCGGCCTCACCGGCGGCCTCGACTTCACCGGCGCCCCGGCCGGCCGACGCTCAGCGGCCTCCGGCCCGCACGGCTTCCACCAGTCCGGAACAGCTCTCGGGCCGGACCCTCGCGGCCCGACGGCAGCGTGCCGCTGCCGCCTCGCCGTCGCCGCGTACCGCGGCCGCCACCCCGGCGCCGGCACGCACCTCCGACCGGCCAGCGCGACCCGGCAGTGGGAAGTTCACCATTCAGGTTGCGGCCTTCCGTGACCGGGGGGCCGCCGAGCGGATGTTGCAGCAGCTCGCGGCGCGGGGAATCGAGGGGTACCTCGAAGGCACTCCGGCCGGGATCTTCCGGGTCCGGGTCGGGCAGTTCGAGAGCCGCGAAGCGGCTCGGGCCCTTGCCGCCCGGCTGGAGAGCGAGAGTTTCACCACCCTCGTGACCAGCCGTCCCGACTAACAGCCGGTGGTGGAACCCGGGCAGCCACCGGGAGGACTGGCCCCACCGGGAGAACTGGGCCCATCGGGAGAACTGGGCCCATCGGGAGAACTGGGCCTCGCCGGCCTGGGCGCTCACGCGGGTTCCACCACCGGCCGCTAGAATTCCGGGGTTCCCGCCCGCCGGGACCACCCCCGGAGAATCGCCATGAGTCAGGAATGCTCGACCGGTACGAAGCCCTATGCGGCCGGACGGCCGTGGCTCGGGGGTTCCTTTGACACCGTCGGTCTGAAAGCGGAGATCGCCCAGCTCGACGAGCGGCTGAGCGACCCGGCCGTGTGGTCGCCATCGGGCGATGGGGAGGCGCTTTCGCGGCGCCGGGCAAGCGTGTTCGGGGGATTGGAGCGGAGCGCGGCCTTTGCGCGGGCGGTAGACGAGGTCGAGACGCTGGCTGAATGGATCCGGGAGGGCGAAGACGTTATCGACGACTTCCGCGAACATCTGGACCGTCTGGAAGGCCAGCTCGACGAGTTCGACCTGCAGCGGCTCTTCGCCGGGGAACACGATTCCGAGAATGCGATCGTTACCATCAATCCCGGAGCCGGGGGGACCGATGCCCAGGACTGGGCGGAGATGCTGCTCGGGATGTACATCCGCTGGGCCAAGGGCCGGGGGTTCGACATCGAGCTTCTTGACCGCCAGCCCGCCGAGGAAGCGGGCATCAAGGGAGCGACGTTCGAAGTCCGGGGAGACCACGCCTATGGCCGGCTGCGGGTGGAATCGGGAGTCCACCGGCTGGTGCGCATTTCCCCCTTCGACGCCCAGCACCGTCGCCACACGTCCTTCGCCTCGGTGGCCGCCTTCCCCGATCTCGACAACCGCATCGAGATCGAGGTGGAGGAAAACGACCTCCGCATCGACACCTTCCGGGCGAGCGGCAAGGGCGGCCAGCATGTCAACGTCACCGACTCGGCGGTCCGCATCACCCACTTGCCCACGGGGCTCGTGGTCTCCTGCCAGAACGAGCGCTCTCAGCACCGGAACCGGGACAGCGCCATGAAGGTCCTGCGGGCGCGTCTCTACGACCGGGCGGTTCGGGAACGCAAAGCCCAGGAGGAGGCCCAGAAGGAGAGTCTGGGCGACAACACCTGGGGCAACCAGATCCGTTCCTACGTCTTCCAGCCCTACCGGATGGTGAAGGACCACCGCACGAACCACCAGATGGGGGATGTGGACCGGGTGATGAACGGCGACCTCGACGGCTTCATCAAGGCGGGACTCAACCTGGCCGCGAAGGGCGGCACCGCGGTCTAGGTCGGCCCAACGGTCAAGGCCGGCCCAACGGTCAAGGCTGGCACCGAGTCCTGAACCTGGACCCGGGGACGCAACGTTCTCGGGCGTGATCGCGTCCGTTCATTCGTTTCGGGGCGGCGGCGAACTTACAATGCGCCCATGCGCGTTCTTCTCGGCTCCGGTCTCCTGCTGTCCCTCACTCTCCTGGGGACCGGGTGTACGGGCGAGGGTTCGCCTCCCTTCGACGAAGCAGCCTGGCGGGCAGGCGAGGAGGCCTACCGGCAACGGGTGGAGGAGACGCTCACCTCCGACAGAAGTTGGCTGACCGTAGCCGGGCTCCACTTCCTGACGGTCGGTGAACACACCGTCGGGAGCGGCGAGGATGCCGATCTTCGCGTTCCGGACCGATTCCCCGAGCTGGCGGTCACCGTTTCCTGGTCGGCGGATGGCAAGGCGTTTGCCCGGGTTGCTGAAGGAATGGGCGCCACGGTGGGCGGCGAACCCTTCACCGAGGGCGAACTCGAACTGGGCGAGGACGGTGCCTTGCACCTCGACGAGCGAACGAGGTTCTGGCTGCACTCGAGCGGCGAACGCCGGGCGCTCCGCCTGCGCGACCTCGACAACCCGCTCCGCACGAATTTCACCGGCCGCAAGTGGTTCCCCCTGGATCCGAAGTTCCGGGTGGCCGCCGCTTTCGAGCCATATCCGGAGAGGAAACACGTCGAAGCGATCAACATCCGCGGAGACATCGAGAATTACGAGTCGGACGGCGACGTGGTCTTCGACTGGGATGGCGAAGAGATCCGGATGCAGGCATTCAACAGGCGAAACGGGGTTTTGTTCTTTGTCCTCTCGGACGGGACGAGCGGCATGGAGACCTATCGCTCCGCGCGTTTTCTGGAAGTCCCTCCGGCAGAGAACGGCCGGGTAGTCGTGGACTTCAACCGCGCTGTGAACCCGCCCTGCGGCTTCAACGAGTTCACGACCTGTCCGACCCCGCCGCCGCAAAACCGACTCGCGATCCGTGTCGAGGCCGGCGAGCTGCGCTATCAGCCCGGGTCCGCGCCCACCGACTGACTGGCGCGTTAACCCCTTGGGCGTAGGCATAGCGGTCTCCCTCGACCGCGAGGTCGAAGGCGTGGCCCCCGAGGACTTCGAGGGCTACGCCCTCAATCAGGCGCGCTGGGAACTGTCGGAGGCCGCCGAAGCGGCCGATCTCCAGCCCCTCGACGAGTTCGTCAGCATGAGTCCCGAAGAGTCCGAGATCCTTGCTGCGGACCTCAATTTCGACACCGACGTGGACGCACTCACCCCGGCGGGATGGTTTGACTCCCGGATCGGGCTCCGACTGGTGCAAACGCTGCTGGGGACGGTCACGGAGGATCCCGAGGCTTTTCCCGGAGAGCACACGTTGATCGCGGAACTCACCGAACTGGAGACGGTCCTTTCGGCCGCCGTCCGCGCCGGAGCGCGTTTCCGGCTGTCGGTGGCCTACTGACAGCCAGTCAGGCCCAGCCAGTCAGGCCCAGCCAGTCAGGCCCAACCAGTCAGGCCCAGTTCTCGCGTTCGATCAGCCTTTCGACGTGGGCGAGGTGGTGCCGCCCGTGCCAGGTGTAGACCCCGACCGTGCGGGCCAGAGTGTTCTCGCCCGAATCCGGGTTCAAGAATGTCCGCTGGAGCTGCTCCCAGCTCAGGCTCCGCACCAGTTCCGCCCAGCGCACGTGCAGTGCCCGCAGAAGGTCCAGCGAACTGTCGATCGGGGCCGTCCGGGAGTCCGGTAGCTCCGCCACCAGCGCTTCGTCGTACGGCTTGATCACCGGCCGGTCTTCGGTGCAGAGCCCAGCGGAACCGGAGGAAGCAGTTGAGGTGGCTGTCGGGGAGGTGATGGACGACCTGCCGAACGGTCCAGCCGCCGGGACGGTACGGAGTGTCCAGTTGAGGGTCGCTCAGCGGGGTCACCGTTCGGCGGAGGTCGCCGGGCAGCGCCACCAGGTCGGCGAGCCAGGCGCCGACCTGATCCTCGGTGATCGCACCCGAGACGGTGAACGTGCCGATGGGATAGCGCAGATCCGGGGTTGCGGAAGTCACAGGCTGTTAAGCGGTCCGGGCGGTGAACTTCGCGGTCAGCCAGGTGATGAGGCCGCCGAGGAGCGTCGTCCAGATCACGACCCAGAAGACGACCTGGGGGACAACGCCGCCCCAAAACCACTGACCCATGAGGCCCATCGTCGCTTCCATGTCCGGCGGATAGGCGTCGTAGTGGGTGCCCCAGTCGCCGAGGGTGGCGAAGAGCATGATGAGGATGACCGGGATCCGGGCCCCGATTCCGTAGACGAAGTTCGTCTTGAGCGCCGCAACGAATCCGGTGTTTCCGGAGCGGGCGAGCTGCCGCCCGAACCAGAACGCGAAGATCGGAGCCAGCCAGACGATCCCGATGATGGCGCCGGTACCGCCGGCCTCCCGGTTCACGAGGAAATCCGGCAGGCCGCCGAGGGCGCCCAGCAGGCGGAGAGCCGTGACCGCGAGCGTGATCAGGACCGGCGTGCGAACCAGCGCCCAGGTGGAGGAAGGGGAAGTCGGCATCGAGAGGCTCCTGTTTCCGGAGGAACCTCCGGACCGATGAAAATCCGCTCGGCTGCGCGGACCTCAGACAGAGACGGGAGTCTGGCAGACTTTGTTCCCTTCCCGAGGAGAACCTTCGATGCTTCGTTCCCTGTTTCCGGTGGTTTCCGCCGCCGTCCTCACGGCAGTCCTGCCGTTCGCCGGCTGCGGCGAGCCCGGGCCGCGCTTCGCCGAGGACGGTCTCCTGGCGCACATCTCCACCCTGGCTTCCGACGAGTTCGGCGGGCGGGGACCGGCTTCTCCCGGAGAGGAGAAGACCGTTGCCTACCTGAGCGGGGTGTTCGAGCAACTGGGACTCGAGCCCGGGAATCCGGACGGGACCTGGGTGCAGGCAGTACCCTCGTGGGCTCCACCGCCATCACCATGGCGGCCTCCTCGGATCCGGGTGGTGACTGGGAAGCCGGCGTGGACTTCGTGGCCTGGACAAAGCGGGTGGTCCCCGAGGTGGGCGCGTCCGGCGAGTTGCTCTTCGTCGGCTACGGCGTCGAGGCGCCGGAGTACGGCTGGGACGACTTTGGAGATGCCGATCTCACGGGCAAGATTCTGGTGGTGCTGGTGAACGACCCGCCGGGAGAACACCACTTCGGCGGCGACGCCATGACCTACTACGGCCGCTGGACCTACAAGTTCGAGAAGGCCGCCGCGCTGGGAGCGCTCGGAGCGCTGATCGTCCATGAGACGGGTCCCGCCGGATATCCGTGGGAAGTGGTGAGCGGCTCGTGGACCGGGGAGCAGTTCGACCTGCGCACCCCCGGCGGGAACATGGACCGCCTCGAGGTCGAGGGATGGATCTCCCGGGAGCAGGCGGTCGCGCTTTTCAGCGCCGCAGGGATGGACTTCGAGGAGGCTCGCGGGGCGGCCACTGCCGCGGAATTCACGCCGATGCCGCTCGACATCACCGCCAGCTTCGCGCTCGAGACCTCGCATCGCGAGATCGACTCGAACAACGTGGTGGCGCGCCTTCCCGGAACCGAAAGCGCCCGGCGAGACGGTCATCTACACCGCGCACTGGGATCACCTCGGCACTGCGGTGGGGATGGAGGGCGACAACATCTTCAACGGGGCCTTCGACAACGCGACCGGGACGGCCGGACTGCTGGGGCTTGCCGAGGCGTTTGCGGCCGAGGGGGCCCCTCGCCGCAGCGTGTTGTTCCTGGCCGTTACTGCGGAGGAGCAGGGACTGCTCGGCTCGCGCCACTATGCCCAAAACCCGCTCTATCCGGCGGCCGAGACGGTGGCAGCGCTCAACATGGACGGCCTGAACGTGTGGGGACAGACGACCGACATCACCGTCGTCGGGCCTCGGCCAGTCCGAACTCGATGACATCGCCGGGGCGGCCGCCGCCGAGCTCGGCCGCGAGCTGCGCCCGGACCCGGAACCCGAAAACGGCTACTACTACCGTTCCGACCACTTCGAATTCGCGAAGGTCGGCATTCCCGCGTTCTATCCGGACGGCGGGGTCGACTTCATCGGCAAGCCCGAAGGGTTCGGCATGGAGGTCCGCGCCACCTACGTCGCCGAGGCGTACCACAAACCCGCCGACGAGGTGGAGGATTGGTACGACCTCTCCGGAATGGTGGATGACCTGGAGTTCCTCTACCGGATGGGCCGCGGCCTCGCCGACTCCGACGGGTGGCCCGAATGGAGCGAGACCAGCGAGTTCCGCGCCGCCCGGGAAGCCAGTCGGTAGGGGTCTTCAAAACCGGTATCGCACATCGCCGCTCGCTTTCACGGCACGCAGGGCAGGGGCGTTCCCTTGCCTGCGCGTCGCACCGCTCTGTTGGGGTTCTCGCGCGGGGCTGCATTTACACAGCAACTGGGACGGCTGGAGCGCCGGTCTCCGACCGGCATCGCGCGGGAGCGCGAAACCCGCACCGATGACACCGCGCCATGCCAACGTGAGTGCCGCACCCCTTCCCAGCACCGGATGCCGCGATCGCTCACCGCTCCCCTACCCGCGGCTGTGCCTCTCTTGACCGCTCCAGCCAAGACTCCAGCCAACAAGCTCCGACTGGCGCGACCCTCCGACGGCAAGGGCAAGCGAGCCGCCACTTCACCTTGAAGGTGAGCGACAGCGGGGAGTCGGCCTCCGTCAGGGTAGACAGCCTATAGTTCCTTCTACCCCTTCCGGAGGCGCCATGGGTCTGAACATCAAGAACGAGGAAACCTGCCGGCTCGCCCGCGAACTCGCGCGGTTGACCGGAGAGAGCATGACCGGCGCGATTACCGTTGCACTCAGGGAGCGTCTTGGTCGGAGGAAGCGCGAACGCAACGTTGATGAGCGTCTCAGGGAGCTCCGCGCGATCGCAGAGCGGTGCGCCAAGCTGATGGGACCCGGCCCATCTGCCGTGGAGCACGGCGATCTGCTCTACGACGAGCGGGGTCTGCCCAAGTGATCGTGGACAGCTCCGCCGTGCTGGCAGTCCTGAACCGGGAACCGGATGCCGGACGCTACGAAGCCAGGATGCTCACCGCCTCGAGCTGTCGGATGTCGGCAGCGAGCATGCTTGAAGTGACCATGGTGGTGGAGAGCAGGGGCGGTCCGGCGGCGGGATTGGAATTGGACCGGTTTCTGGAGCGGTTGGGCGTTGAGGTGGTGCCGGTTACCCTCGAGCAACTTGCGTCGGCGCGGTACGCGTGGCGACGCTTCGGCAGGGGGAATCACCCCGCCGCTCTCAACTTCGGAGACTGTTTCGCCTACGCCCTCGCCCAGGTCTCGCGGGAACCGCTCCTCTTCAAGGGCGACGACTTCGCCCGCACCGACATCGCCGCTGCCTGACGCTTCAGCCCCGATTCCGGCGCTCGGCTGCCGTCCACCTCAGGCCCTGGCGCCGCGGTTCCTCCACCACTCGCTCACCAGGAAGGGGGATAGAACCACGAAGAACATGGCGAGTCCGGCCACCGCCAGGATCGGCAGATACCACGGCCAGGGCGCCATGAAGAAGGGAGACACGGTGTCGGGGGGAGGCCCGAAAGCCACATGAAGTTCGTGCCCAGCAGAAGGTTCACCGCGCCCACGAATGCGGCGAAGACGGCCAGATAGGCGAAGGCGCGGAACATCCCGCGGAGAGTCGGACGCATTCCGAGACCCCAGGTGGCGAACAGCACCCCCACCACGATGCCCGAATGGGCGATGAAGTATTGGAAGAAGCGGTACTCGGGGAAGTCCACCGCGAGCCCGCCGGGGGTGATGACGCGTTCGCCGAGCCCACGAGACCCCAGAAGTAGACGATCTCGTAGGTCTTCGGACTGCGGAAGAGGAGCGTCGCCGACGTCAGCAGCACCGCCACCCCGCAGACGTGCAGCGGCATATGGTTCCGCACCCAGCCATCGAGCCCGATCGCCCCGATCCGGATCGACCAGTAGGTGAACTCGTTCGCGAGCAGCATCCCGGCAAGGAGCCAGGCGATGACCGTCGGCGCCGCGCCGGAGAGCCGCCGCGCGAGGACGGCCAGCAACGCCGGAAGCGCCAGAGTGAGCGCCATCGCCACGAGGTGCGGCGTCCCGAAGGTCTCGAATCCGTCAGCCGGCATGGCCGCAGGTTACTCGGAGCGGAGCGCTTCCCAGGGCTCGCGGCGCGCGGCGACCACCGCCGGATAGATCCCGAAGACCACGCCCACCGAGACCGAGAACGCGAACGCCACTCCAAAGGCGAGCAGCGGCGGGCGGGCCGACCGGGAGTGCGGGCCAAAACGCCGGAGCGAGCAGCCGGAGACCGGCCCCGACACCGGCGCCGAGGAAGCCACCGGCAAGGGAGAGCAGCACCGCCTCGATGAGGAATTGCGTGACGACCTGCGAGTGGCCGGCGCCGATCGCCTTACGGATGCCGATCTCCCGCCCCCGTTCGCGAACCACGACCAGCATCACGTTCATCACGCCGACTCCTCCGGCGAGGAGGCTGATCGCGGCGAGCGCGATGCCCACCGCCACCACGCCGAACAGGATGCCGCGGAACGAACTCAGGAGCGCGTCGAGCGAGAGGATCTGGAAGTCGTCCTCGGCATTGTCCGGCAGGTCGCGAGCCCGCCGGAGAGCCTCGCGGATCTGCTCCTCGGCAAGCTCGACCTCCGCGAGCGAGCGGGCGCGGAAGCCGAGCTGCAGCGGGGAGGCCGGACCCTGCGCGAAGCGGTACTGGGCGGTGGTTACCGGGATCAGCAGCATCTGGTTCGGGTCTCCGGACGAGAGAACACCCCGCTCTTTCGCTTCGAGCACTCCCACGATGGTGAACAGGACTCCATCCACCAGCAGCCGCTCGCCGATCGGGTCGCTGTTCCCGCCGAAACCGCCCCCGAGTTCCCGTGCGAGCTCACTCCAGACCTCGGCGCCCACGACCGCGGCGCGAGTCTGCCGCTGCATGTCCTCCTCGGTCAGGAAGCGGCCGCGCGCAAGCGTCTTCCCGGCGACCTCGAGGTGCAGCGGGCCGACGCCCTTCGCGTCGAGTCCCATCGCTTCGTCGTAAAGACGCACCTCCGGGCGGAACGAGAGCACCGGGTCGAAGGCATCGACGGCGGGGGATTCGCGAAACGCCGCTTCGCCGTCGGCGAGCGACAAGAACGCCCGGCGCCGCACGATGTCGTCGCGCGGCGCAGACCAGAACACGGCGATGTACCCGCCGCCCACGTCCCCGAACTCGGCGGTGACGGTCTGGGTGAGCCCGTCCGCGACCGAGGCCACCGCGACCACCGAAGCGATACCGATGGCGACGCCGAGGGTGCTGAGCGTGGAGCGCAGCGGATTGCGGCGGATGGAGGAAACCCCCATCCGCAGGTTTTCGCGGATCACCGATCCGGGTCGGGGTCGCCGTCCTCGGCCTCGACGATCACCTCGTCGCCGTCCGACAATTCGCGCAGGATCAAGGGCGGTCCCACCACCACCACATCTCCGGCGGTGAGACCGGCGGTGATTTCGACCTCGAGCAGGTCGGAGAGGCCGGTCGTGACCCGCCGTTCGGCCACCCGGTCGTCCTCGATCACGAAGGCCACCTGCCAGCCAGGCGCGCGGGACGTCGTCTGGCCGGAGACATTGGCGCCTTCCCCGCCGCTGAGCGACACGGAGAGACTCCCGCTGCCGGCGCCCTCCGGAAAGCGCCGCAGCAGCGCCCCGATCGGGACCGCGAGCGCGTCGGCGCGCCGTTCGGTCTCGATCCGGACCTGGGCGCTCATCGAGGGGCGGACGGCCGGCGGCGGATCATGGACGCGGATCTTGGCGAGGAACTCGGCCCCCTGGCCGGCGGCGCCGAGCCGGGCGGTCTCATCCCGCTGACCCACCCGCTGGATCTCGATCACCTCACCGGAGAGCGTTGTCCCGCGGAGAGCGCTGAGCGTGATCTCCACCGGCTGCCCCAACTCGACGCTCACCACATCCACCTCGGGGATGTCCGCCTCGACAATCAGCTCGGCGTCGGTCCCGAGGGTCATGATCCGCGAGCCCGGGCAGGTTCTGGCTGCTCGCCACCACCAGCTCGCCCTCCTCCAGTTCGACCTCCAGGACGATGCCCTGCATGGGCGACCGGACCACGGTCTTCGCCAGGTTCTCCTCGGTGCGGCGGAGCGCGGAGCGGGCGCGCTCGATGTTCTGACGGGCTCGGTCGGCGGCAATGCCGGCGCGGTCCAGTGCGACCTGCGCTTCCTCGACCGCCCGGGCGCTGACCACTCCTTCGGCGTGGAGCGAGCCGGCGCGTTCGCGCTCCCGCCGGGCGTCCCGCTCGGCCACCTCGGCGTCGGCGAGGATGGCCTCGGCCTCCCGCAATCCGGCCCGTTGCTCTTCCACGATGGGGCGCTGGATGGCGTCGTCAATGAGCGCGACGATCTGCCCGGGAGCGACCGGATCGCCCGGGCGGACGCGGATCGCCAGCAGCCGGCCGACCACCTCGGCCGAGATGTCCACGCTCTCCTCGGGGCGAACCACCCCGGAGGCTTCGACGGTGGCGAGGAAGTCCCGCGGGGAGACGGTTTGCGCCTCGACCCGGATCCGGGTGTCGGGGGATTCCACGCTCAGCAGGACCACCGTGAGCGCGCCGGCCGCGAGCGCGAGGGCGACAACAACTTTCTTCATGGGACCTTCTTCAAGGGAAGCTCTTCAGGAGGCGCCGACGGTGAACGACATGGCGCCCACCGCGAGCGCGATCCCGACGACGGCGGCGGTAGTGAGCGCCCAGAGCGCGAGGACGACCGCGAACGAACGGCCGCGGGTCACACCGAGAACGATGGCGAGGCCGAGGCCGGTGAGGACGACCTCCCAGGCGAGGAAGAGGTCCACCCGCGAAGCCACCGCCTGAGCGGCGCCGTCGAGCCCGCCGAGGACCGACGCCAGATTGCTCCGCAGGGGGGCTTCCGCCCGCTCCGGCGTCAACGGGTAGGAGACCCAGGCCACCAGGCCGGTCAGGAGAGAACTGGTGGCAACCGCTGGCCAGCCGGCGTGGATCACCGTCGCCAGGATGAGGCGGTAGCTGCCCTGGGCGCCGAGGAGGCCGAACACCAGCAGGAAGACCGCGGCGGCGACGAGCGGAGAGATCAGCGCGCCGGCCGCGCCGAGGACCGGCGCGAAGTTGCGGGTCAGTCGCAGCGCGTCCCGCGAACCCTCGAACATCTCGCGCTGGTCGGCCTCGGACATGTTGCGGGTGAAGGTCCCCGGCATGCTCTCCATCTGCTGTTCGAAGGCGTGGCGGGCCAGGGCGTCGAGGTCGGTCGCGCGGCTCACTGCGGTTGCCGCGAAGGCGCCGGCCAGCGCGGTGGCGATCAGCGCCGCCGCGATCGTCGGGGACCGGGCAAGTTCGGCGAACGTCCGGCCCGGCGCGTGGAAGACGGAAATGAGTCGGCCCAGGGCGCCCGGATCGCGCTGCTTTCCATGGAAGCGACGATCGGCGCCCGGACCCTTCCGCGGAGAGACATCGGGCCCTTCGTGGGGGAGGGAGCCGAGACCCGACGATGGGGATGGTGCGTTCATGCGGGATTCCTTGTGGGACGCCGGGTCGGGTGCGCAGAAAGGCACCTGAAGTGAAGATACCGGAAGGAGCGAACCAAGTTGCCGCTACCCCACGTACCACTACGGCGAAACGGAGGCGGAAGTTCACGCGGCGTGACAAGGAGTGACATGCCGGAACGGGAGTCGTCCAGCCGTTGCCCCGGGCCTAGCAGCCGGTGGCAAAACCCACGCGGCGTTCGGCCGGCGATGCATCCCGCCCGAACCACTCCGCTTCGCTCCGTTCTTCGTTGCGTTTCGGTCGAAATACACCCGGGCCAGTTCTCCCGGTGGGGGCTCCTCCCTCACGCGCCTTGTCAGCCGGGCCCCCACCGGGAGAACTGGCCCCACCGGGAGAACTGGGCCTCCCCGCTCTCGGCGCTTACGCGAGTTCCACCACCGGCTGCTACGGCCGGTCGCGGGACATGAGGTAGGCGTGCACCTGCCAGATCTCCTCGGCCGACAGCAACTCCCCGAAGGCCGGCATGAGGTTCGCTTCGGATCCCTGCGCCACGATCTCGAAGAACCGGTTGGGAGTCAGCCGGCTGCGGAACACGTTCTCACCCGCGCCGCTGCCGCTCCGGTGGCATCCCACGCAACGCGAGCGGTAGATGCGCTCGCCGGCAGCTACGGCTTCTTCGTCTCCGAGAAGCGGGTTGGCGCGCTCTCCTTCGGACGCCGGCGCCGCGCCGGCGCGGCAGGGGTGTTCGTAGCGAGCGGTTCGCTGCCTTCCGTTGCCGGGAATCCATACCCCGGCAGCACGCGGCCACCCAGGGTGGCGCCCGGTTCGCCCACCCGCGGGAGGCCGCCCGGTAGCGTGACGAGATTCGTCCCCGCTTGTTCGCGCACCGGGCGGGCGCCGTCCAGCGCGAACACCCACAGGTTCCCGGCCTTCGGCTCGGTGTAATAGAACGTCATGTCGCCGCCGATTCCCCCGGAGGGAACGGCCACGTACTGGACGCCGTCGAGTTCGTAGGTGATCGGGCTGCCGATGATTCCCGAGCCGGTCTGGAACTGCCAGAGCACCTCGCCGCGCTCGGCGTCGATCGCCATGAAGTAGCCGCGCATGTCCCCGGTGAACACCAGTCCGCTGGAAGTGGCCACCGCGCCCGCCCAGAAGGGCGCCGGGCTCACCACCCGCCACAGCACCTTGCGGTTCACCACGTCGAAGCCGACGAAGTTCCCCGGGTTCTCGCTCGTCAGGTACTGCTGGTAGTCCGCGCCGAGGTACCACTCGCCGAGCGTCGGCGGCTCGAACTGGTCCTCCTCCCAGAACCGGTAGCCCATCGCCCACTGGTTCGACATGAAATAGAGGGCCTGGCGATTCGGGTTGTAGGCCAGCGGCTGCCAGTCGATCGCGCCTTCGAGGCTCGGGATGATGGGTCCCACCTCGGGGCCGCCCGACTCCGCCACCATCTCGAGATTTACGTCGGGTCGGCCGGTCTCGGGGTCGAGCCCGTGGGCCCAGTTGATCCCCGGGACGATCGGGTCACCGTAGAGGAAGCGCCCGTCGGTTCGGTCGAGCGCGTAGAAGAAGCCGTTCTTGTCGTGGTGGAAGAGCGCCTTGACCGGGCCGTGACCGGGGAGCGTCACGTCGGCGAGCACCGGCGTGCTGACCGCGTCGTAGTCCCAGCAGTCCCAGGGGGTGTACTGGAATCCCCAGCGGATGCTGCCGTCGTCAGGGTCGATGGCGATGGTTGCGGCGGTCCACTGGTTGTCGCCCTTCCGCACGTGGCAGTTCCAGGGGGCGGCGTTGCCGGTGTTCCAATAGACGAGGTTCAGTTCCGGATCGAAGACGCCGGTGGTCCAGGTCGGGCCGCCGCCGTTTTTCCAGGTGTCGCCCGGCCAGGTCTCGTTGCCGGGTTCGCCGGGTCCGGGGATGGTGTAGGTCGTCCAGCGGTGCTCGCCGCTGGCGGCGTCGTAGGCCTTCACGAACCCGCGGACCCCGTATTCGCCCCCGGCCATTCCGGTGAGCACCAATCCGTTCACCACCAGCGGCGCGCCGGTGATGCTGTAGCCGTGCTCCCAGTCGGCGACCTCGACCTCCCAGACTGGTTCGCCGGTGTCCTTGTCGAGCGCGATCAGCCGGGCGTCCATGGTGCCGACGTACACGAGGTCCCCGTAGAGCGCCACGCCGCGGTTGATGGATCCGCAGCAGAAGACCCGTTCCACGTCGGAGCCGATCTCGGGGTCGTAGCCCCACTTCTTGCCACCGGTGCGCGCATCGATCGCAAAGACGCGCGATTCGTCCGCTGAGAGGTAGATCACTCCCTCGTGCAGCAGCGGGGTGGCTTCGAGACCCCGGTTCGCTCCGCCGGCCGCGAACACCCACACCGGGTCCAGTCGTTCCACGTTGTCCGGGGTGATCTGGTCGAGCTCCACGTAGCGCTGGCCGAGGTAGTCGCGGCCGTACATGAGCCACTCGGAGTTGTTCCCGGCGGCGGTTTCGAGGTCGGAGGTGGTAACGCCTTGAGCCTGCGCTAGCCCCGGCCACCACAGTCCAACCACGAGGATCAGGGAGAGCGCCGTCGCCCAGGTCGTCCGGGTTGCTATCCCGCCCATTGTCTGAAGGGATTGTGTCAGTCCGGAAGGCGGACGGTTTCGAGGGCCGCCAGCGAGCGCCACCCGCTGTGAGAATGCAGTTGCGCCGCTATCCGCGCTCGGCTCGTTGGATCGTTCTGTTCTGTGCCGTTGTTTCGCACATTCTGTGAAGAATGAGATAGGCGCCTGCCTGGAATCCCACCGCCGCCCCGATCGCCAGGCCGGAGTTGTACCGATAGAGCAGGACGATCAGCAGGACCACGACCAGCCAGATAGCCAGAAGGCCAGAGACGTAGAGAATCGGTGCCGCTCGGATCGCTTGCAAGGGGCTCATTGATTCAGGCCCCATCAGGTTGTCCACGAACCTTCCGCTAGCCGCCCCGAGGAGCGGAGGCTGGAGCGTCTTGCGCGGCCGGTGGTTCGGGAGCATGGCCTCACATGATTCTCTCAAAACCAGGAGCGAACGGGGCCGGGACCGCTGGTCTTCCGGCGCTCACCGGAAAAACTGGTCGGCGTCGTCGCGCGGCAACCGGGTCCGGAGTCCTCAGAAAAAGAGCAGGAGCTGAAGCAGGGATAGCGAGTGGAAGCCAAACCATCCCCCGAACACGACGGCGAAAGACATCCAGCGCGCGACCGGCTGGGCGATTGCGAAGCCCAGGGCGGTCAACACCAGCCTGCCGATCTCGAGCGGGTTCAGCACCCGGGCCAGGTCGCGGGCCACGAACTCATCCACCCCGGCGGAGGAGACGAGAAACTCCCGGACTTCCAGCGGGGGCTCACCCGAAACGAGCCGCCAGAGCAGCGCCGACACCGCGCCGAACACAAGGACCCCCCACATCGCGTGGAGCGTCACCGAGAGGATCACCCGGTACTGCGCTTCGGCGTCGAAGAGGTCGAACACGAACCGGTACAGCGCCGACACGACGAAGGGCCACCCGATTGCCACGAGCGGTAGCAGCAGGAAGAGCCCTGCTTCCCGAATGCCCAGGGTCGGAGGCTCGGCGGCGACGATCCTGGTGGCCGAGGCAACCACCAGGAACGGCACCATCGCCACGACCACCACCGCGACGCTCGGCGTGTCGCCGATCTCGGCGAAGGTGCGCTTGGGACTGTGGAAGATCGCCAGGAGCCGACCCAGGTCCCGGCGCCAGTTCTTCACCGCGTGACCAGCCTGTGCGGTCGGAGGCTTGTTGCTCCCGGCGAAGATCGATCCAACCCGCCCGTTGCACTCTCCAAAGGAACAGGATTCACGATCTCGTCACTCGTAGTGGTAGCGAGCCTGCACGATCTGAATGGCGTTATCCCGGACGAAGTAGACCATTCGATGCTCCCGGTCTACGCGACGCGACCAGAGTCCCTCCAGTTCGTGCCGGAGCGGTTCGGGGTGGCCGAGCCCCTCGTATGGCGATCTGAGAATGTCCTTGATCAGCCGGTTCACACGCTGGAGGCGAGCCCGATCGGTGGCCTGCCAGTGCAGATAGTCCTCCCAGGCTCTTTCGGAGAAAACGAGCTTCACTCCACGAGAGTCCGCTCGGTTCCGCCTCCGGCGGCAAGTTCCGCGATCGCTTCCCGAATGCGTCGGGCGTTTTCCGGACTCCGCAGTAGATAGGCCGTCTCGTCGAACTGGTGGTAGTCGTCGAGAGACATCATCACGACGGGTTTCGCGTTTCTCCGCGTGATGACGACCGGAGTGCGGTCGTCACACACCCGCTCCATCGTTTTCGCCAGGTTGGCGCGCGCGTCCGAATAGTTGATGGTGTCCATAGGTCCGGGCTCTTGAGTACTCGTACAGTTTACTGTACCAGTCCGTTCCGAGAGCCAGACGCTTTGCGAGGGCCGCTGTCCTCGCACTTCTCTCTCAACGGTTCGCGGCGAGCCTCGCTTCGCCGCTCTCGGCGGCCATGCCTGCTGGGGGCCAGCGGTCCCTTCGGCGGCCCGCATCATGTAGGGCTCGATCCGCTCCGGCGGTGGTGGCGCCGTGCGGAGCGAAACGAACACCATCACCGCCACGTTCGCGAGCGCCCCGTAGATCCCCGGGTGGACCCCGAGGAGCGCGAGGTCAGGCCAGACGTTGAGCGCCAGGGTCACTGCGCAGCCGGTTAGAAGGCCGTAGATCGCGCCCTCGCGGCTGGCCCGCCGCCAGAACATGGCGGCGATCATCAGGGGGAAGAACTGCGCGATCGCGCCGTAGGACATGAGGAGGAGGCTGACGAGGGACGCCTCCGACCCCACCGCGAGGTAATAGGCGAGCGAGCCCATTCCGAGGGCGGTCCAGCGGATGAGCCGCGTCTCGGCGGCGGGCGTGCGGCGGACGCCGCGGAGCGGCATTTCGAGGTCCTTGACCAGCACCGAGGCCCCGGCGTGGAGGATCGCGTCTCCCGAGCTCATCGAAGCCGCGAGCGCCCCGGCGCAGAAGAGGCCCACGGTGATCGCCGGCAGATCCAGATCCATGAGGATCGTGGGCAGGATGGTGTCGGCCTGCTCCACCCCGGGGTAGGTCATGATGCCCGCGAAGCCGATAAAGAGCACCGGGATCAGGAAGATCTGGAAGGTCGGGTAGAAGATCACCATCCGTTTGAGCGTCCGGACGCTCCGGGCCGCGTAGATCTTCATGAAGTAGTGCGGCCACACCGAGAAGCCGAGCACCGAGATCACCACCGCGCTCGAGTAGGCCCCGAAACCCCACGGTTCTCCGGCGGCGTCGAGGCCGGGGGCGACGAGCATCTCCGGCGCCGTCGCGGCCAGTTCTCGGAACATCGGGCCGATGCCGCCATGAAGCTTCCAGGGGAGGTAGAGCCCGAGCCCCCAGGCGAGGCCGAGCATCAGGATGCCCTGGAAGGTGTTCGTCCAGCCGACCCCCATGACCCCGCTGCGGGCCACGTAGATGAGCACCACCCCGTAGGCCAGCGCGGCGCCCGCCCACTCGGGCATCCGACCCTCGGTCACCACCGAGAAGACGTAGCCCGCTCCCTTCATCTGGATGACGAGGTAGGGGACGAGCGCCGCCGCGCTCATGATCGCCATGATCGCGGGAATCGCCTTGGGGCTTTCGAACCGGTACGCGAAGAACTCCGCCTGGGTCACGAACCCGAACCGGCGCCCGAGCATCGCGATCCGGGGTCCGAGGAAATACCAGGGCAGGAGCCCCACCGTCCCGTAGGAGATGATGTAGAACGCCGCCGCGCCCCGCGAGTAGGCCCAGCCCGGCGCCCCCAGGAAGGCGAAGGCGCTGTAGATGGACGCCCCCATGATGAAGTAGAGGAGGAGGAAGCCCAGGCTCCGGTCGCCGGCGACGTACCCTTCGGGAGTGTTCGAGACGTTCCGGCCGGACACCAGCCCGATCGCCAGCGTGATGAGCAGGTAGGCGAGCGTCGTCAGGAAGACGATGACCCAGGCGTCCATGGGGTTAGTCGCGGTACTCCCGGTCCAGGGCGTCGTCGTCTTCCCGGTCCTTGGTGAAGATCGTGAGGAAGGTGAAAAACACCGTCGCGATCATCAGGACCAGCCAGAACATCGAAAACGGCATCCCGAGCACCAGCGGCTCGACGCCCGCCACCCACGGATAGAGCGGCCAGATGCTCAGCAGGAGGACCGCGAGCGCGACCCGGAAACCGATCCGGTGCCGCTTCTGGAAGCTCACGCTTACTTCTCGATCAACTCGATTTCGAAGAGTGTCGGCCACTTCTTCCCGGTGACGAAGACCCGGCCGCTTTCCGGATCCCAGGCGATGCCGTTCAGGACGTCCAGTTCCGGATACCGCACCCGAACCGCGCCCGGAAGGATGCCGGCCAGATCCACGAAGGCGGCGACCTCCCCGGTGTCGGGATGGATGCGGGCGAGCCGGTCTTCCGTCCAGATGTTGGCCCAGATCTCTCCGTCGATCCATTCCAGCTCGTTCAGTTGCGGGAGGGGTTCTCCGTCGGCGGTCACCTTGAGCGTCCGCACTTCGCGCATGGTGTCCGGATCCAGAAAGCGCAGCGAATCCGAACCGTCGCTCATCACCAGGTGTTCCCCGTCGAAGGTCAGCCCCCAGCCCTCACCGGAATAGCGGAACTCGCGCACCAGACGGAACTGGTCGAGGGTGTAGACGAATCCGATGCCCGCCTCCCAGGTGAGCTGGACGATGAAATCTCCGGCGAGCGCCGCGCCTTCTCCGAAGAACTGGGGAAGCAGCCGGCGTTCCTCCAGCACGGCGCCGGTCTCGAGATCCACCCGCCGCAGGGTGGACTCCCCCCGGAGTCCCGTGCTCTCGTAGAGGAATCCCTCGTGGAAGAAGAGCCCCTGGGTGAACGCCCGCGGGTCGTGCGGGAATTCCTGGACCACCCGGTAACCGAAGACGGCGGGTGCGGCGGGTTCCGCCGGGGGAGGGGGCTCCGGAGCCGGGGCAGGGGCCGGCGCGGGTTCCGCCGCCGACGCCGGGCTCCCCGCGGACCCTCCGCAAGCGGCGAGCAGCAGGAGCAGAGGCCAGAGGGGCCAGAGCAGCGGGCCGACCGCGCGCCGTCCAGGGGCCATGCGGGGAATCATGGCATGACCACCGGCCCTCGGATGCGTATCCTCCGCGCACCATGTCCGACGCTCTTGCCAGCTCTTTTCGCGAACACCTTGGAATACGCCTCGAAGGAATCGCCCAGGATCTCCAGAAAACCGGGTACTCGGCTCTGGTCCTGGTTTCCGGCGGGCAGTACTTCTACTTCCGCGACGACCAGCCCGCCCCCTACCGGGCGAACGCCCACTTCCTCCATTTCTGTCCCCTCGAGGGCCCCGGCCACCTGCTCCTGCTCCGCCCGGAGAAGAAGCCGTTGCTGGCAACCTTTTCCCCCGACGACTTCTGGTACGAGCCCCAGCGGATCGGCGACGCCTTCTGGACCGAAGGTTTCAAGATCGTCGAGTGCAGCAGCCGGAAACGTCAGATCTCCGAGATCGCGAAGCGGCTGCCGAAGGGGCGCGCCGCCGCCATCGGCGAGAGCGGGGCGGTGGCCGAAGCTCTCGGTCTGGCGCAGAACCCACCGGCTCTCCTCACCCGGCTGGATTGGAGGCGCGCCATCAAGACCGCGTACGAGGTCGAATGCATCAGCGAGGCGAACCGCCTGGGGGCCGCGGGACACATCGCGGCGGAAGGCGCGTTCCAGGACGGCGGCAGCGAGTTGGACATCCACCGCACCTTCCTCGCGGCGGTCGGCGGCCTCGAGGCCGACCTTCCGTACCCCACGATCGTCGGTCTGAACGAAAAGGGCGCGGTCCTCCACTACGAGGGAAAGCGAGCGGACGTCCGGAACGGAAAGAGCCTGCTCATCGATGCGGGAGCCCGGGTCCGCGGCTACGCCTCCGACATCACCCGAACCTTCGCCGGGGGGGCGGCCGACGGGCGCTTTTGTTCCCTGATCACCGCGATGGAGGGCGCCCAGCAGGCGCTCTGCGAAGGCGTCACGGCGGGTCGCCCCTGGGCTGAGCTCCATCACGAGGCCCATCTGTCCCTGTCCGGCGTCCTGAAGGACGAAAACGTCATCAACCTGTCGTCGGAAGACGCCGTCGCGAGCGGTCTCAGTAGGGTGTTCTTCCCCCATGGCCTCGGCCACTTCCTGGGCATCCAGGTGCACGACGTGGGAGGCCACCTCGCCGACCCCGACGGCCGCCGGGCCCCGCCCCCGAAGGCGCACCCCATGCTGAGGAGCACCCGGACCCTGGAGCCAGGTCACGTCCTGACCGTGGAGCCCGGGTCTACTTCATCGAGATGCTCCTCGCCGGGTGGCGGAACGGGCCGGAGTCGAGGCGCGACGCCATCAACTGGGAGGCAGTCGACGCCTCTGGCCCCCTACGGCGGGGTCCGCATCGAGGACAACGTCCTGGTCACCGACACCGGCCCCCGCAACCTCACAAGAGAACATCTCCCATAGGGAAGGGACCGCCGACTTTCAGTCGGCAGGGTGGCGCGGAGGGAAGGGACCGCCGACCTCCGGTCGGCATCGCGGCCCGGAGGCCCGCGGGCGACGCATCGCCGTTCACGCAGATGGTTCCCCTCTCGACGCAGCCTCCACCAGGCCCCACGGCACCACAGGCAAGGGACCGCCGACCTCCGGTCGGCACAGCGGGCCGAAGGCCCGCGGGCGGCGCATCGCCGCTCACGTAGATGGTTCCCCTCTCGGCGCAGCCTCCACCAGGCCCCACGGTGCCACAGGCAAGGGAACGCCGACCTCCGGTCGGCACCGCGGGCCGAAGGCCCGCGGGCGGCGCATCGCCGTTCACGCAGATGGTTCCCCTCTCGGCGCAGCCTCCACCAGGCCCCACGGCACCACAGGCAAGGGACCGCCGACCTCGGCCAGTTCTCCCGGTGGGGGCCGGCACAGCGGGCCGAAGGCCCGCGGGCGGCGCATCGCCGCTCACGTAGATGGTTCCCCTCTCGGCGCAGCCTCCACCAGGCCCCACGGCACCACAGGCAAGGGACCGCCGACCTCCGGTCGGCACAGCGGGCCGAAGGCCCGCGGGCGACGCATCGCCGCTCACGTAGATGGTTCCCCTCTCGGCGCAGCCTCCACCAGGCCCCACGGTGCCACAGGCAAGGGACCGCCGACCTCCGGTCGGCACAGCGGGCCGAAGGCCCGCGGGCGACGCATCGCCATTCACGCAGATGGCTCCCCTCTCGGCGCAGCCTCCACCAGGCCCCACGGCACCACAGGCAAGGGACCGCCGACCTCCGGTCGGCACAGCGGGCCGAAGGCCCGCGGGTGACGCATCGCCGTTCACGCAGATGGTTCCCCTCTCGGCGCAGCCTCCGCCAGGCCCGACGGTGCCACAGGCAAGGGACCGCCGACCTCCGGTCGGCACAGCGGGCCGAAGGCCCGCGGGCGGCGCATCGCCGTTCACGCAGATGGTTCTCCTGCGCGGCGCAGCCTCCATCAGGCCCGACGGTGCCACAGGCAAGGACCGCCGACCTCCGGCTCGACGGACTAGGGAGACGCTTGAGGGCCAGGACGACGGGACGCTGGTCGCGACGTTGTGCGGGCGCTGGCGCTGGTCCGACACGATGACCAGCACCGTGGAGCCAAGAAGACTCCGGGCCGCGCCGCTGAAGTAGGATGGCGACAGGAGTTTCGGTAACCGCATAGGACACCGGATCGTTAGGCCGCTGGCGCGTCGACCAGGATTGATTGCTAGATCTCCCCGCTGGCGGACTCGACCCCATCCGCGCAGGCTTGAATGAACCTAACCGACCGAGACGGCCCTTGCCAGAGTTGTCAGAGACCTGATGGCCCGCGCGAGCGAAGGCGTCTATTGGGACTTCAAGCGCCAGCATCACGCGACCAACAGTGCCCTGGTTCACGATGTACTCTGCCTAGCCAATGCCGAATGGAGCGGACCCCGGTTCTTGATTTTTGGGGTCGACGACTCAGATTTTGCGCTGCATGGCATCCAGGGGTAGATGCGGGCGGAGAACCCAAGCCGACATAGGCGGCCTGTTTCGCGACAACGCGGGGAAGTTCTTCCAATCGAGATTCCCGACACTTCATCTGCACGAGGTTGAGGTCGACGGGGCACTGATCGACGTGTTGGTAATCGAGGATGAGCCGAAGAACCGTACTACCTGGTTCAGAGAATCGAACAGGTCCGTGCGCATCACGTCTATACGCGGGTCTGCGACACCAACACGCCGACAACCGGGTTCGCTCAACCGCACGAGGTCGAGCGGATGTGGCGAGAGCGGTTCGGACTAGATGCGCCCGCGCTGGAGAGAGCCAAGCGGTTAATGGAAGACCCGGCCGCATGGACTCGGCGCCTGGAGGGAGGATTCGCGTGCTGCCATCACGATGTCTTCCCGGAGTTCACGCTGAGGGCTGCTGACACGGAGCGACAAATGGACAGCAGCCAAGAGTGGACACGTGGCGAAATCGTAACCACTGGCAACCATGGCCATCTGGCTCGAACTGCGGTGCATCAGACTCTATTGCGACGTATCCACTACGTGAGCTTCGACAACCAGAAGAAAGGCATGGTGGCGCCCGACTGGGCACCGATCGGCAAAGGTCGCTTCTACTATTATGCGGCCGACACCGTCGACTACGCGGTTCAGCAGTTTTGGGCCGAGTCCGACGGTCGGGACGACTCCAAGGGGCTGCAGATTCGAGGAGACGGGGAACTCGCACGCGCGGCAAGGTCGAGATGGCGGCGCGGACTAGACATACCGGTTGTTGAGCCAGGGGAGCTGGACCGATTTCTGGAAGACCGCGGGTGGAACTCCATCAGCAGCACTAACCCGTCCGCGGATCCCAGGAGCAGTACGAACTGTTCCTTCGGGCTCACCTTGACTTTGACGACTGGCGGCAGGGCCAAGGTCCAACCTGAACCGTTCTTACTCAAGCTGTAACCGTTCGGTCGCGCCGGCCATCGCCGGAGTCTGCGAGAAGCTGGTGCAGACGGGCCACCGCGGGCCGCAGAGGCCGCCAGTCCTTCCCCACCGATGCGGCCCTCGGCGCGCTCTATCCAACGCTCCGCTACGGCGCGTTGGCGTGAAAAAACCGTACCATTGAACCTCCCGCCTGAAGGATCCATCTGACCCGATGCACAAGATCAGCTCGACTCTCGTCGGCGCCGCAGGCGAGTATCACGTGCTCAGTCAGCTGTTGCGGCGTGGCTGGATTGCGGCCCTGGCGCCCGATGGGGCGCCGAACATGGACATCCTGGTCACCGACGAGAACAACGAGAAGTTGTGTGCCATCCAGGTGAAACCCGACGTCAAATCGGACGCGACAACGGCTGGCACATGAAGCCGAAGCACGAGACCATAGTCGCCGACGATCTGTTCTACGTCTTGGTCGATGTCGGCAAGCAGCCATCCGATCCGACCGTCTCCTATGTCCTTCCGTCGAAGGTGGTGGCGGACTGTATACGGGACTGCCACCGTGTGTGGCTCGACACTCCCGGCAAAGGAGGTCGGCCACACGAGGACAGCGACGTGCGTCGGCTGTCGCCCGACCACTCGCACATCAAGCCGAACACAGAGGAAGGAAGGAACACCGTCGATCGGTATGGATCAGGCTGGCTTGGCCCCTATCGCGAGAAATGGAGCATTCTGGGATTGCCCGAAGCGGATGGCTTCTGATCGCTGGCCTCACGTCCTGGGGGAGGCGTCTACTACCCGCGTCGCAACGGGCGTCCAACTCCGCCGGCTTCAACTTATCCGCGCGTTCCTCCGCCGCCTCGGCTCGTTCACGCGCCTCCCAATACAGCCGGCGCCAGGCCCCACGGTGCCACAGGCAAGGGACCGCCGACCTCCGGTCGGCACAGCGGGCCGAAGGCCCGCGGGCGACCCATCGCCGTCCGCTCTTACGGCGCGCCGGACCCCTTCGCTCTCACCCGCGTTCTCGCCGCGCCACCCCGTGTCCGCCGACGTCCCCGGCTCCTGCTCGTGTAGTGCCCCGACGGCAACGGCGGAATCCTCTCGTGGATCTCGGCCTCACTGCACCCCGCCACCCGAATCAGCTTCCGGTGGTGCGACGTTCCGGAAATGATCTCGATCGCATCCCGCGGCACCCGCAGCAGCTTCGCGAGGAGAGCGATGAGGCGGCCGTTCGCCTTGCCCCGCTCGGGGGGTGGAGAGACGTAGGCGCGGATCTGCCCGCCCGCAAGCCGTCCGATCCGCTCCGGGGAGGAGCGGGGAGTGGCCCAGACCCGCAGCACCACGCCCTCGAGCGAACCCGTGTCCGTCACGGCGGAATCTTAGAGCGGCGCAGGGCGTCCACGGCGAACGCGGGCGGCGCAAGTGCCGGACTTTGGGCCAGGTAACGCACGACTTTTCCACAGCGGCGCGGGAAGTGGGACGAAACGGCCCTGAATTTCGTCCGTATGTTTCAGGGGGCCCCCGCGTGTTGCGGGCGCCAGATCCCCGACGGAGGAAATCCCATGTCTGACATCACTGACGATCAGCCGAAGCCCGCGGTGACGGAGTCTGAGCCACCGCACCAAGCGTCATCACCGGCCCCCCCGTCTGACGAGGCCGGCGACACGCCCCCTCTGTCGCCGGCGGCCGCGTTCTTTCGGGCACTCGTGAGGGCCGGCTGCGACGCGGAACTTGCCTATGCCGCGGTGGAAGAGGCGAAAACGATGGCCGGGGAGAATGCAGACGCGGCCCTCACCAGGCTCGAGCAGCTCGTCACCCAGCACGGGAGAAACTCGCCGAACGCGACTTGAAACCCGACCTCCTCGCCGCCGGGACGGACTCGCCGAGGGCGGAAATGAGGCTGATGTGGGGCGCCCGCGGCACTCTGGTGACGGTTCTGGGCCTGGTCTTCACCCTCCTGTTCTCTCGCTGAACGCTCGACACACTGGAAGTCGGCGTTCCGCGATCAACCCCCTGGCACAGCCCGGTACAACACACATTGGCGAGATACGCCAGGCCCCGTTCAGGGCAATTGATGTAGTGGTGCATTAGCCGTATGCTTGTGCATCATGCGCACCACCATCACCGTTGACAGCCAAGTCATGGAGCAACTCAAAGAGCGGGCAGCCCAGTCTGGCGGGTCCGTCAGCCGGCTGATCGAACACGCCGTCCGCCTCTTCCTGCGGGCACCCACGGCGGGCACCCCCGAGGAACCCTTCGAACTGGTCACCTTCGGTGCCGGAGGTCGCTTCTCGGAACACAACCTCGACAAGGCTTCGGCGCTCCTCGAGGCCGAGGACGTGGAGCGCTACCGGGATCGGAGATAGCCGGTGCTGCTCCCCGATGTCAACATCCTGATCTACGCGCACCGCGAGGACGGCCCGGAACACGAGCGATACGCTGGCTGGCTGCGCGCACTGACCGTTTCGTCCGCTCCGTTCGCGCTGTCCGAAGTCGTGCTCGCCGGCTTTTTGCGGATCGTGACGAACCGGAGAATCTTCGATCCCCCGACCCCGATGGACACCGCCATCCGGTTCTGTCAGCAGCTGGTGACGCGGCCTCGTGCGGTCATGATCGCTCCCGGCCGGCGGCATTGGGACATTTTCGTCGGGTTGTGCCGGAAGATTGAGGGGCCGCTCGTGACGGACGCATACTTGGCGGCGCTGGCCATCGAACATGGGTGCGAGTTGGTCTCTACCGACAGCGATTTCGCTCGTTTTCCGGAGCTTCGGTGGCGACATCCACTCGCGCCATCCGGCTGAGAAACGGTGCCGAGCTCGCTGGTCTTCGGCGTTCCCTGCTCTCTTGGTCGGGAGTCCAGGTGGCTCGGGCTAGAACGGCGTGTGGTTGGGTGACGCAGCGTCATCGGCGCTGGTTTCGCGCTCCCGCGCGATGCCGGCCGGAGGCCGGCGGTCCAAGCCGTCCCCGCGCTTCTTCACACTTGGCGGTACGCGGTTTCGCGGCCCTCCGGGCCGCGGTGCCGGCCGGTTCTCCCGGTGGGGGCTTCCCATACCTGAGCGCCATCGCGGCTGGGGAGCCATCCGCTCCGGCAGCGCTACGCGGCTTCGCCCGCCGCCGGCGGGCGAAGCCAGGTCAGGCTACTGACCTTCTTCCGTTTCCTCTCTCCTCGTCCTCTTCCTCGGGGGGCCGCGGCCGATCCAGCTTGATCGACACCCCGCCGAAGAACTCGCTCGTATCCCGGTTCACCTTGTGATCGCCGTCCAGCATGAACTGCAGGATCGCCGTGTCCCAGGCGAGGCCCGCTGACGCCACGATCTTCATCCAGTCGCCGCGCGCCGGCTCGTCGGGGGCCTCGGTGCCGCCCGCCCAGACGGTGATCTTGGGGTCGTAGCCGCGGCCTCCACGCCCCGGGGCACTCGCGCGCGGCCCTTGATCGGCATCCCGATGTTGACCCCGTTGTGGAGGTTCATCCGGAACACTTCGGGATCGAACTGCATCCCGTAGCGGCGGTAGCGGTCGTAGTTGCGCTGGTTCATCGCGGCCACCGGTCCGGTGTCCTGGATGGCGTTCGTGATGTAGCCGCGGAGCTTGATCGCCATGTCCTTGTGCCGCGGCAGTTCGGGGTCGTCCACCACGTCGAAGCCGGGCATGAACCAGCCCTTGTTGAAGCCCCAGTTCCGCTCGGTCCGCCGTCCGGCGCGCACCAGGCCGCTGAACTCGCTGAAAAGCTGCACAAGCTGGTGCCCCGGATAGCCGTGGGGGTTCAGGTAGATGTCCGGGAGCCACATCCGCCAGATCCTCGGCCGGACCTCCGCCTCCGGATAGATCGGCATCGGGTCGTCGCTGTCCGAGGTGGAGTCGATCCCGAGCGATCCCCAGTATCCGGCGTGCAGGATGTGCTCGGGGTTGTACTGGTGCATGTCCCAGGCGAGCTGGGCGCCGTCCGCGTTCTGGATCGGGTGGAAGACGAGGTTCACCTTGTCGAGGTTCTTCTTCTGCTCCGGATCGGTGAGGATCATCTCCGCCAGCCGTAGCGTGTGCGACGTCGAGGAAACCTCGTTCGCGTGCTGGCGGGCGCTGTAGACGATGGTGGGTTTCAGCAGGCTGGCCTTCTTCTGGGCCCAGTGCGTCGCCTCCATCGGTGGCATCAGGTCCATCGACCAGATGGATTGGCCGAGGTAGCTCTCGCCGACCCGGTAGACGGTGGCCTCCGGGAACTCGGACATCCGGGCCAGGATCCCGTAGGCCTCGGGGGGTGAGATCGGCGCATCCCACTGGACGAGCTGATCGTCGCTGCCCGTCTCGTCCCGGAAGGTCATGATGTCCGGGAAGGGAGGCGGCTCGCCGTTCGCCGCCAAGGTGGTCGCCCGTTCGGTGTCCGCCGCGTAGTCCCACGTCCACGACGCGGCGAGTTCCAGATCCCCAAGCCCGGAGAACGCGAGCTCGTCGGAATAGAGCCCGGCGCCCCGCAAATCCCGAGCAGCTCCAGCACCCGGGTCGCCTGCGCCGCCGAGAGGATCCGCTCGTCGGCGGCGTCCTCGCCGTGCCGCTCCACGTAGTAGTCCCGTTCATCCGCGTCGGTGTCCACCTTCACCCGTAGCCGCAGTCCATCCAGCCCGGAAGTGCCGGCGCTGACCCGCGCCGCCATCGCCCGGGGCCGGTCCACTTCGACCTTGGCGATGTTCCGCCGCACCGTGCCGGTCATCCCGTCCGCGGTGGTGTAGTCCACGACGATCGCCGGGACGGCCGGTCTTGAACCCGGTGAAGCGGATGTGCGCGGTTCCCGGGGTCCCGTCGGTCTTCCCCCGCATCTCGGGGATGACCCGGCCGCCGTAGGTCAGCTCGGTCCCCAGCGAGTTGCGCCCGATGTGCCGCAGGAAGCTGTGGGTGACGAAGTAGATGTCCTCGTGGAGCGCGTCGTGGGTGGACTCGATCTCCTGCTCGACGCCCAGCAACCGCTCGGGCTCGGAGAGCGACAGCACCACCTTCAACTGGCCGAAGTAGGGCGCATCCACCGGGCCCCGCGGCTTCCCGTCGTGGAGTTCCATGAGGTAGTCGTAGACCCTCGCCAGCGTGTCCGACTGGTAGTGGTCCCAAAAGGCCTCGGCGTCCGTCCGGATCCGTTCGTCCACCACCGTCTCGCCGTCCACCTCGGCGGTGATGCCGCCCGTCGTCACCTGGATGAACTCGTAGTCCGGATACCGATCCATGAATGGCCGGGTCACGAGCCGCGGGTTGAACGTCTCATTGAGCAGGACTTCGCCGTTCGCGTCCTCGGCCACGAGCTGAAAGGCGGGCGCGTCCTGTTCGCTGCGCAGTTCGTATCCCACGTCGCCGAGATCGAGCGACAGCGCCTCGGCGAGGATCTCGTCCGCGGGGAACATCGCGTGCTGCCAGCGGAGCGGGGTGTGCATCGCCTGCTGCGGCCAGTCCGCCGGCGGCCGGTGCTCGCGGAACAGGAGCCGCACCCGCGCCGGCGGAGTCCCGCCTTCCCGGAGCGCGAGCAGTTGCGGCAGGACGAACTCCTCGATCCACCCGTAGCCCTGGCGATAGGCGGAAAGGATCGCCACGTCGCCGGCGGACACCGTGGCCCCCCGGCCCCGCAGCTCGGCGACCAGCTCGTCCTCGAGCGAAGCCCGGACCTCCGGGGGTTCGCTCAACTGGACCATGACCCGGACCCGGTCGCCACGTCCGACCGGCCGGAAGCAACTGGTCCCGCACGATGCCCCGGAATTCCTCGATCTCGGAGGGCACCGCGAACTCCTCCTCGTGGAGGACCGCGGCGTTATCCACGTTCCGGTCGTCGAGTTCGACCGCTCGCTTCGCCGAGGCCGAGCCGTTCGGCGGCCGCTGACACGAAGTCGTCAAGCCCCGGCGCCGGATCCTTGATCGACACCAGAATCTTCGAGCTCTGGATCCCCAGGTGGGAGATCTCGGCGGCAATCCGCTCCAGCTTGTAGAGCGCCGCGGCGGCCTGGCCGCCAGGGCTCCGGGACGACAGGAACTTCCAGGTGGCGAATTCGACGCCGTCCACCGTCGGGTGGTCCTTCTTGCGGTTGTGCGAGTCCAGGTGCGGGAAGCCGATCGCGGCCTGGTGGAGCGCGCGCTCCAGTCCTGCCTGATCGCCACCGGTGATTGCGAGCGCGTGCTTCTTGCCGAACGCTTCCGGGACCACCCCCACGAAACCCTCGCCGGCGCCCGAGGTCGGGGACGGTCAGATCCGCGAGCACCGGGTTCTCGCCGGCGGTACCGATCACCACCAGGGTCGGATGTTCCTTGGGTTCATCGACGTCCCCGGCGGCCGCGGCCACCGGAAAGGTCATCCCGGAGGACTCGAGGCCGAGCCGGGCGGCGAGCGCCAGCGTTCCGGCCGGGTCCTCGGCGGTGACCACCAGGCGCGAGTCGAGCCGGTCCGGGATGCGGTCGCTGTTGGAATCTCCCAGCAGGCCGTCCGGCTCATAGAGGACGGCGAGCCCGAGGTCCTTCTTGGGCCCGGACCCCGGCCGCCCGGGGACCGGACCGGGGTCCGGCGCGGGCGGGTCGTGGCTCACGGAGGCCGCCGATTCGCCGTCAGCGTGCGCGGCGACCACCCGCAGGGAGGCCAGGCTGTCGAAGCGCAGGTCGTCGCCGGCGCCTTCGACGGCAGCGGCCACCGCGGCGGCCGCGGCGGAGTCGGCCACCCCGACCCGAACCTCGGCCGACGCCAGGGAACCAGCGCCGGCTTCCATCTCCACCCGCATGGTGTGAGCGCCCATCGCTGCGTCGCCCGCGGCGCTCATCACCGCCGCCTCGACGTCGGCGAGGGACTCATCGCCCGCGCGGAAGACATGGGGCGCCCGGGAAGCCAGCCACATCGCGGCCGCCGAAAGACCCGCCGCGTCACCGCCGCGGATGCCGACGATCACCGAGTCCCCGCCGGTGTGGAGTTCGACGGCGCCCCGGCCGGCGGCCAGAGCGGAGAGGCCGGAGATTCCCAATCCGGCGAGCGCTTCGTCACCCACTGCGATCGCGACTTCCGACGCCGCGGGCAGGGGAAGGTCGAGAGCCATCGTCTCGAAGCCGAGCCGGGCGGCGATGTCCGCGGCGGCCGCGACCTCGGCGGCCGAAGGGGAATCGCCGAGCACGACCCGGGCGCGCAGCCGGTCGGCGACGCCGTCCCCGTTCGTGTCGGCGACGGCCCCTCCCAGCTCGTAGAGGGTGGCGAGCGATTCCGGCTGGGCGGCCGCCGGACCGGCGACGCCCAGGAGGACGGCAAAACTCAGAACAACGGCAGAAGTACGCACTTCACAGCCTCCCTTCCCAAACGGACAACCGGGGAATCGCCCATTGTAGGGGGTCGGTTGCGCACCCGCGCGAAGGGGTTGTTGCCCGGGTCGGCCGGGTCGAGCATGCGTCCATTCCGGCTCGGACGGCCGAGGCATGCGTCCATTCCGGCTCGGACGGCCGAGGCATGCGTCTATTTCCGGATCGGCGGGCCGGGGCATGCGTCTATAACCGGTTCGGATGGCTGGAGCATGCGTCTATAACCGGTTCGGACGGCGGAGCATGCGTCTATATCGGGATCGGACGGCCGGAGCATGCGTCTATATCGGGATCGGACGGCCGGAGCATGCGTCTATATCGGGATCGGACGGCCGGAGCATGCGTCTATATCGGGATCGGACGGCCGGAGCATGCGTCTATATCCGGGCCGCTGGCCGCGAGCATGCGTCTATCCGGGGATCGGATGGCCGGAGCATGCTGTCATCGGGTCGGATCGCTGGAGCATGCGTCTATCCGGTTCGGTTGGCCGGAGCATGCGTCTATTCGGGATCGGTTGGCTGAGCATGCGTCTATTCGGGTCGGATGCGAGCATGCGTCATTCCGTCGGATGACCGGGCATGCGTCTATATCGGGATCGGCTGGCTGAGCATGCGTCTATTCCCGTTTTGGACGGCCGGAGCATGCGTCTATTCGGATCGGCGGCTTGACCCGGCATGCGTCTATTCCCGGGTCTCGGATGCGAGCATGCGTCTATTCCCGGATCGGCGGGCCGGAGCATGCGTCTATCACCGGATTGCGGATGACCTGAGCATGCGTCTATAACCCGGAGTCGGTTGGCGAGCATGCGTCTATACCGGGTGTCGGCTGGCCGCGAGCATGCGTCTATCTCGGGATCGGACGGCCGCGGAGGCATGCGTCTATCGGATCGGAGCGGAGCATGCGTCTATATGTCATGGGCTTCGAAAATGTCCCACTTCTGGGCTTCGAAAATGTCCCACTTTTTCGGGGTGATTGGGTGCCGGCGGAGGGGTGGGTTGACGGGATCTGGAGGGGTTGCGGTCGGATAGGTGGCGGGGGGTGAGTTCCGGGATGGGCGCGTCGGGCGCGGACGGAGGGAGCGGAGCGACCGGAGATCCGCGCCCGACGCGCGTGCCGCTTCACCGGGGCACCTCCGCTGGGGTAGCTGGCCCTTGTTCGGGGTTCTTCCTCGCAGGAACCTGCCGGAGCGCCTGTGCCAGGTCGCCGCGCTGCCGCATCCGGTAACTGTTCCCCCGGATGTTCACGATGTGGCAGTGGTGGAGCAGCCGATCCAGGAGCGCCGCCGCCATCACCTCGTCCTCGAGGATCGTCCCCCACTCCTCGAACCCCTTGTTCGAAGTCAGCACCGTGGACGCCCGCTCGTAACGCTCGTTGATGAGCTGGAAGAACAACGTCGCCCCGTTCCGCGTCACCGGCAGGTAGCCGATCTCGTCCACCACCAGCAGCGCGGGGTGGGTGAGGACCCGCAGCCGGCGCCGCAACTGCCCCTTCGTCTCCGCCTCCTGGAGGGACCCGACCAGATCCCTCAGGGACCCGTAGTACACCCGCCGGCCCCTCTCCGCCGCCCGGATCGCCAGCTGATCGCCAGGTGGGTCTTCCCCACCCCCGGAGGACCAAGGAACACCACGTTCTCCTTTCGCCGGAGGAAGTCCAGCTCGTGGAGCGAGTCGATCTGCTCCCGGCGCAGGGAGGGTTGGAACGTGAAGTCGAAGTCCGCCAGCCTCTTCACCGCCGGAAGCCGGCTCGATCGCATCGCCGCCTCCAGACGACGGTTGTTCCGCAGCGCGATCTGTGCTCCCAGCAACTGCTCGATCGCTTCACTCCCACTGAGCGAACCGCTGTCTACCCTCCGGATCACCTCGTCCAGCGCTTCCAGAGCCCCCGGCATCTTCAGGTCCACGAGCTGGCCGCTGATGCGTTCGTGCCGCGATACCGACGTCATCCCTGCGCCTCCCCGAGCCGCCCATACTCCGCCAGACTCCGGCGCTCCACCAGGATCCGCGGCGGCGACAGCACCCCCTCCGCGGGCGGAGAAGACACCGACCCCACGCCCGAATACGGTCTCTTCGCCAACGGCCCCAACAAAAAACGCTCCCGCTCGAAGCGAACCAACGGGACCTCCTTCAACGTCCCGTGGACCCGGACGTTGGCCACCGTCTCCAGCCAGTGCACCGCCTGATCGTTCAGGTCCTCGTCCGACACGAACTCCCGCCCATAGAAAAACCCGTCCCGGATGTAGCGCACCGGACGCTCCACCTTCCCTTTCGTCTGCGCCCGATACGGCCGGCAAGCCCGGATCACGAAGTCGCAGTGCCGCGAGAACCGCGAGAACTCCGCGTTCTTCAGCAGTTCCCCCGCCGACGCCCGCCGATCCTCGATGATCACCGCCTTCAACTGATCGAACAACAACTCCCAAGGCACCCCGCCGAAATACGCGAACGCCGCCTCCAACCCCCGCATCAGCACTTCCATCGTCTGGCGCTCGTAGAACTGGAACCACAACAGCCGCGAATAGCCCAAAACCACCAGCAGCGCATACCGCTTCCCCCACGGCAGCCGAAACTCCGCGAAGTCCACCTGACCCTGCCGACCCGGAGCCGTCTCGAAACGAACCACCGGTTCCTTCCCAGGCTGCGGGCGAACCTGCCGCACATACCGCTTCACCACGTCATAGCCCCCTTGGTAGCCCGACCCCCGTAACTCTCGGAACAGGCGCTCCGACGACAAATCCGGATACTCCGACAACCGGAGCCGCACGATCTCCTGGTACGGGTCCAGGATCGAGGGCACCGCCGCTCGTGGGCCGTAGGTCAAAGCCTCGGAGCCCCTACCAGCACCATCAGCCGCCGCCCAACGCGTCGCCGTCCGACGGCTGATCCCAAGATCCCGGCTGATCGCCGACTTGCTCATCCCCCCCTTCAACAAGGCGCCGAACAGCACCCGTTTCGATATCTCGTGCATGGCTTCCCCCCTCTCTGGGGAGCAGCGCTTTGCTCCGGACCCGGCCCGTCGATCAGTCCAAGGCGCACCCTTGGTCAATCTCCGCGCTGCCCGTTCTTCCAAAGCCGAGTGGGACATTTTGACCGCCCAAAAGTGGGACTTTTTCAAAGCCCGCCAACAACCCGAGCATGCGTCTATCCCCGGGTCGGCTGGCCCGAGCATGCGTCTATCCGGGATCGGTCTGGCCTTGAGCATGCGTCTATCCCGGAGCCGTTGACCCGAGCATGCGTCTATCCGGGGTCGGCGGCCCGAGCATGCGTCATCCCGGGTCGGTTGACCCGGGCATGCGTCTATCCCGGGGTCGGCTGGCCCAGCATGCGTCTATCCCGGAGTCGGTGGCCGAGCATGCGTCTTCCGGGGTCGGCTGGCCCAGCATGCGTCTATCCCGGGATCGGTCGGCCTGAGCATGCGTCTATCCCGGAGCCGGTTGACCCGGGCATGCGTCTATTCCGGGGTCGGCTGGCCCAAGCATGCGTCTATCCCGGGATCGGTCGGCCTGAGCATGCGTCTATCCCGGAGCCGGTTGACCCGGGCATGCGTCTATCCCGGGGTCGGCTGGCCCAAGCATGCGTCTATCCCGGGATCGGTCGGCCTGAGCATGCGTCTATCCCGGATCCGGTTGACCTCGTAGCATGCGTCTATCCCGGGGTCGGCTGGCCCGAGCATGCGTCTATCCCGGGGTCGGCTGGCCCGAGCATGCGTCTATTCCGGGTCGGCTGGCCCAAGCATGCGTCTATCCCGGGATCGGTCGGCCTGAGCATGCGTCTATCCCGGAGCCGGTTGACCCGGGCATGCGTCTATCCCGGGGTCGGCTGGCCCAAGCATGCGTCTATCCCGGGATCGGTCGGCCTGAGCATGCGTCTATCTCGGAGCCGGTTGACCCGGGCATGCGTCTATTCCGGGGTCGGCTGGCCCAAGCATGCGTCTATCCCGGGATCGGTCGGCCTGAGCATGCGTCTATTTCGGGGTCGGTTGGTCCGGGCATGCGTCTATTTCAGGGTCGGCCGGCCGAAGCATGCGTCTATCCCGGGATCGGTCGGCCTGAGCATGCGTTGGATGAAGAGCGATATGCGTTCCGCCAGCCTCCGGCTGGCGGTGCCGACTGGAGGTCCGGCGTTCGGGTGCCTGCGTCCCGCAAGTGTGAGTGGCGGAGGGAGTTTCGCCCGCTGCGCGGGCGATGCCGGTCTGAAGACCGGCGTTCCTGGGCGCTGTCGGGCGACGGTGCCGGTGTGAACACCGGCGGTCCGGAGCTATCCCCGATTGACAGGGTCGAAGGCTGCCCGTAGGCTGCGAAATCAGGTACCGACTCGACTGAGTGGAGGAGACCCATGCTTTCAAGTAGCCGCCCGATCGCGATCGCGCTGGGCGTATTCATGCTCGCCTTGCTGGCTGCCGGCAGCGCCGTGGCCCAGCCCTACAACTGCGAAGAGGTGATGGTCCCGATGCGGGACGGCACCAATCTGGCCGCGGACGTCTACATGCCGGTGAATCAGGGCGACGGTCCGTTCCCCGTCATCCTCGAGCGGACGCCGTACAACAAGGGCGACTGTGCGCACCGGTTCGCGCCCTATTTCGCCCAGCGCGGCTACGTCGCGATCGTCCAGGACGAGCGCGGCCGCTACAACTCGGAGGGCGTCTACCACTGGCTGCTCGACCAGGCGTGGCACGAGCGCCAGGACGGCTACGACACGATCGAGTGGGCGGGCACCCAGCCCTGGTCCACCGGAAAGGTCGGGACGCAGGGGCTCTCGTTCACCTGCTTCAACCAGTACCTGACCGCGCCGACCCGGCCGCCGCACCTGGCCGCCATGTTCTGCGCGCACTCGGCGTCGAACGCCTACAAGGACCTCTACTGGGCCGGTGGCGCGCTCCACATGATCATGCCGACCTGGCTCCTGTCGCAGAACGAGATGGTCCAGCCGGTGCCGCTCGACGACCCCGGACGGCGGACCGGCTACGTCGGCGCTGACCAGGCCTGGCTGCAGTGGCATCAACGGCGTCTCGAAACCGAAATGCCGATCGGCCAGAGCATGCTCACCCGCATGATGACCGACATGATCGAGAACCCGTACTACAACGACTACTGGCGGCAGTACGCGGTCGACGAGCAGTGGGACCAGATCGACACTCCGATCATGCACTACGCGAGTTGGTACGACCGGTATCCGCACTCGCAGGTGGGGCACTTCAACGGCATCCAGGCCCAGGGCATGCCGAACGCCAGGGATAGCCAGCGACTGTTCGTCGGCCCCTGGCTCCACGGGGCCGGCCTCATAAACGCCCGGGTGATCGGCGATCTCGACTTCGGGCCCGAGGCGGCCATCGACTACAACGGGCTGCGCCTGAGGTGGTTCGACTACCACCTGAAGGGCATCGACAACGGCATCATGGACGAGCCGAAGGTGAGCCTCTTCATCATGGGCGCGAACACCTGGCGCCGGGAGCACGAGTACCCCATCGCCCGTGAGGTACGAACGGACTACTACTTCCGCGCTGACAAGGCCGACTCCGCCGACTCGCTCAACGACGGAACGCTCTCGACCGAGGCGCCCGGGGACGAGGCCCCGGACACCTACGAGTACGACCCGCGCGATCCGGTGCCGTCGATCGGCGGCGACCAGTTCATCCGGCCCATGGGCGCGCAGGACAATCGGCCCGCCGACCGCCGCAGCCTGACCTTCACGACCCCGGTGCTCGAGGAGGACACCGAGGTCACCGGGATGCCGACCGTGGAACTTTGGGCCTCATCCAGCGCGGTGGACACCGACTGGACGGTGACGATCACCGACGTGCACCCGGACGGCTACTCGCAGACCCTCCGTCAGAACATCCTGCGCGCGCGGTACCGCGAAGGCGACGAAGCGCCGGTCCTGATGAGCCCCGGCGAGGTCTACAAGTTCGTGATCGAGATGTATCCCATCTCGAACCTCTTCAAGGCCGGCCACCGGATCCGGATGACGGTATCCAGCAGTGCCTTCCCGAAGTGGTTGCCCAACGGCAACACCGGCCGGGAAATGGACGAGGACATGCCGGTGATCATCGCGGAGAACACGATCTACCACGACGCCGAGCGGCCCTCGAAGGTCATCCTGCCGATCATCCCGGCGGGATCGGCATCGGCCGGCGACGGGCGCCACTGACGTTGGACTAACGACCTGGCGCGCCGACGCGATCGTTGCGCGCCAGGACCCGGCCGCCGGGCCCGAAGCGAAGGGCACCGAGCGGTTGTCGGGGTCCCAAAGGTCAGGGTGCGTCTGCACCTGGAGGTGAAGGTGCGGCATGGTGGTGTTCCCCGAGTTTCCGGCGAGCGCCAGCGGATCTCCTGCCGACCCGGTCGCCTTCGCCGACCCGGAGCGTCCCGTGCCGGAGGTGCGCCAGAACGACGAAGAAGACCGGTGTCGAGCTCGATGACGATGACGTTTCCCGCCGCGTCGGCGAGCTCGGTCACGAAGTTCGCGCCGTTAGCGTCTTCGAGGTCGTCGCGGGCGACGATCACCGTGCCGTCCGCGGGCGACATCAGCGGCTGCTCCCAGCTATGGACCGTCGCATTCGCATCGCCCGGATCGTCCGTGAAAATCCGGCCGCCTTCCAGCCGGACGAGATCGAGGGCGAACCGCTGGTTGTAGGCCGCGAGATGGTGGCTCTGCAGAGGACTGTTACCGCCCTGCAACACGAGCCACTCCCCCTCGAACGGTGGAGCGATCTGCACGGCGCGCGGCCGGTCCCCCGACGAAGGCGCGACCAAGATCGAATGCCAGGACCAGGGCGCCCGCCGCCATGACGAGGGTGGGCCCGGCGTTCGTCCGGCGCGGCACGAGGAAGGATGCCGCGACCCGAAGCAGGCCGACGCCGATCACTACCCCGAGCAGGGTGGTCAACTCCGCCGACCGGGGAAAAACCGCACTACACGCGACGGCGGCCGCCGCCCAGAAGCTCGCCCGCCCCACCGCCTGGAGGAAGTGGGGCCGATTCTCGCGTCCCCGAAGTCCACGAAGTCCCCGCAGCAGCCCCGGATGAAGACGCCCCTTGCCGCGCCACCAGATTCGGCTCGCGATCGCCCAGACGGAGCCGAGCAGCAGCACCAGCGCGAGCGCCTGGTGGCTGTAGAGACCAGACCAAACGGAGGGAGAACAGAGCCCGCGAGACCCAGCAGCGTCAGCAGGGTCGTGACGATCGCGTAGGCGTGCTTCCTCATCCGGTCAGCGGATCATGAGCGAGCGTCGAATACGGCCAAAGCCAGCCGAAGAAACCGGCGGTCATCAAATGGGCCGGAGCTGGCGAGAGCCAACCGGGCTAGGGGATCGGCGCACCGACGCGATCGTTGCGCGCCAGGACACGACTTTGGGGCCCGAATGCGAAGGGGACCGAGCGGTTCTCACGATCCCACAGGTTGGGGTGGGTCTGTACCTGGACATGGAGGTGCGGCATGGTCGTGTTCCCCGAGTTTCCGACCAGGCCCAACGGATCGCCTTCCCGAACCCTGTCACCCTCGCCAACTCGCAGCGTGCCCTGACGGAGATGCGCGAGGAAGACGAAGAGACCGCCCTGGAGCTCGATGACGATGAAGTTCCCCGCCGCGTCCGCGTTGGTGGCGACCCGGTTCGCGCCTTCGGAATCCACTACGTCGCCGCGCGCGGCGACCACCGTACCGTTAACCGGCGACTTGAGCGACTGCTCCCAGGTGTAGGACGCCGCATTGCCCGTGAACACCACCGGCATGAACATCATGGTCTCGGCCTGAATGCCAGTAATACCAGTCCCGCCGGTGCCGATCCGGCCGCCTTCCAGCCGGACGATATCCAGCGCGAAGTGCTGGTTGTAGGAAAAGAGGTGTTGGTTCTGAAGACGGCTCCAGCCGCCCTGCACCACGAGCCATTCCCCCTCGACAGGTGGCGCGATCCGCACGGCCGGGGCCGGCCCCCGAAAAGGACGCGGCCGAGTTCGAACCCCAGGAGCAGGGCGCCCGCCGCCAGCACGATGGCGGGTCCGCCGTTCGTTCGGCGCGGGACGAGGAAGCACGCCGCGACCCGAAGCAGGCCAGCGCCGATGAGCCCGGCGAGCAGGGGCGCCGTCTCCCCCGACCGCGGGAAGACCACCACGCAAAGGGAGGCCAGCGCGGCCCAGAAGCTCGCCCGCCCGACTGCCTCAAGGAGGTGGGCCCGATTCTCTCGCCCGCAAAGGCCCCGCAGCAGCCCCGGATGAAGACGCCCCTTCCACGCCAGCCAGCCGCGGCTCACGACCGCCCAACCGCACCCGAGCAGCAGCACAACCCACAGCGCTGGCTGCTCGTGGCCGTAGTACAGGAGTGCGACGCCCGCGAGCGTCAGCAGGGTCGTGACGATCGCGTAGGCGTGCTTTCTCATATTTCCCGCCGACCGTTAGCGACGCGTCGGCTACGGCCAGAGCCAGCCGAAGACGCCGCCGGTGAGGAGCCCGTAGACCACTCCGTCCACCATGGTGCGGACGGTGTAGCCCCAACTCCGCCCCCACCAGATGGAGGCCTGGAGAACGGCGAGCGAATACCCCGCGAAACTGACCGCGGCGACCACCCGGAACACCTCGCCGTACTCGGCGCCGATTCCGAGGGTCATCCCCGCCACGTAGGCGGCGAAGCCCCCGACGACCAGCGAATAGCCGAACCACATCCCGAGGCTTTTGCCCATGTTCATGGGTTCGTTCGGCAGCACCGTCAGGAACGCCACCGGTCCCTCCTTGGTCTTCTGGATGAACTCCGGGGTCGCCATTTCCTTCGCGTCCGCGCCGTGGGGCATCGCGTAGTCGCCGGGCGGAATCGCGAACGGCCGCAGCGCGTCCGCCACCTTGCGCTCGTCGGGAATCGCCCCCACGTCCTTGTTGTGGAATCCCAGCATCATGTGGATCACCGAACTGGCGATGAACACGAGGACGGCCGCGATGAGAATCGGCAGCCAGAGGGAGAGGACGGTCATCATGGGGGGGTCTCCTGGCGGGTGAGGCGCCGGTGTCTGCGGGGATTACGACCGCAGTTTCTTGGGGTTGCGGATCATGTCATTCGATTGGGATGGCTGAGCGGCCCACTCACCGCCGGCGCGCTTCTTCTGCGTCAGCGATGTGAGTTTCGCCCGCCTCCGGCGGACGATGCCGGTCAGAGACCGGCGCTCCTCTCCGCGCGTTTGGCCCGCCTCCGGCGGACGATGCCGGTCAGAGAGCGGCGCTCCTCTCCGCGCGTTTCGCGCGCATCCGCGCCACCACCAGCGGCCGGGCGATCTCGTTGAAGGCGAGCAGGAGCGCGTCGAGCTGCATCCGCTTGTTGCCGTAGGAGCGGTACATGTTGCGGTCGGTCTCCTCGACGAGGAGCAGCGCCTCGGCGAAGGCGCTCCCGGGCGCGAGTTCGGCGATCTTCCGCAGGTGTCCGGGATCGCCGGAGACCGCCGCGCCCTCGGAACGAAGCGCCGCCAGATCGCGAAGGGTGGCGCGGAGCAGCACCAGAACGGTCTGCAGTTCATCGATGTGGCCCGGCTTCCGGCTGCGGGGAGAGGCCTTCATGAGTCGTTCGGTGAGCACCGTCCGCGCCGGCGGCGCGATGCCCCGGCCGACGATCGCGGCCATCCGCTCGGCTTCCTCGGCGAGCGGCAACAGCCGGTCGCGCGGCAGCGCGAGCGCCCGCGCGAGGTCGCCCCGGGCGGCGGCCGCGGCGACCACCGCCTCTTCCGGCGGGTAGTCGTGCGCCTCGCGCAGCCGCGCGGCGACCTCCGGCGTGGTGGGCGCCGCGAAGCGCCAGCGCTGGCAGCGGGAGACGATCGTGGGGAGGAGCGCCGCCTCCCGCGTAGCGCAAAGAATCAGCCCGAGCCACGGATGCGGCTCTTCGAGCGTCTTGAGGAGCGCGTTGGCGGCCGGGGGATTCATGGTGTCGGCGGCCTCGATCACCAGCACGCGCCGCCGCCCCTCGAAGGGATGGGTTCGCACCGCGGCGATCGCCTGGCGAACCTCGTCCACCCGGATCGGCTTGCCGCTCTCGGGCCTCAGGATCCGACATCCGGGTAGGGTCCGCCCGCCGGACCGGCCCCGCCCGCCGGACCGGACCCGCCGCCGGCCGCTCCGCCCGTGCGGAACGCCGAGTCCGTCCCCACGATGCGCTGGTGGAGCACGCGGGTGGCCTCGGACTCCGGGTCGCGGTCGGAACTGTTCACGATGGCCGAGAGCGCGATCGCCGCCTCCACCGTGGGGGCGCCGGAAGGCCCGCTCAGCAGGAGGCTTTGCGGCAGCCGGCCGCTCGCGGCAAGCGCCGGCCAACCGCGGGAACGGCGCGGGGATCGAAATCCGGACACCGCGTCAGCCCTTCCTTTCCGATCGGGCGGCGATCACGTGCCCAGGCCGCCTCGAACACTTCGTCGGGGCTCTGATCCCCCCGGATCACGACGACCCGCTCCGGTTCCTCGCGCGCGATCCGGAGGAAACTCTCGCGGACGCGGTGGTGGAACCGCTCGGCCTCCTGCTCGATCCGGTCGGTCCCCTTGAGGCGCGCAAAACCGGCGGCGACCGGCAGATCCAGCACCAGCGTCAGGTGCGGGCGGAAGCCTGCGGTGACCGCCTGGTCCACCGCCAGGATCTGTTCCACCGGCAGACCCCGGCCCCCGCCCTGGTAAGCGATCGTCGAATCGGTGAAGCGTCCGAAATCACCACCTCGCCCCGGAGGAGCGCCGGGCGGATCACCTCGGCGATGTTTTGGGCCCGGGCCGCGAAAAAGAGCGCGAGTTCGGTTTCGGGGGCGAGCGGTCCGTCGGTGTGCAGCAGCAGTTGCCGGATGACTTTCCCGGCTGCGGTGCCGCCCGGTTCGCTGGTCAGCGTGACCCGGCGCCCCTCGCCGCGGAGCCGCGTGCCGAGACGCTGGGCCAGCGTGGACTTCCCGCCGCCCTCAACCCCCTCGACGGTCAGGAACAGCGCTGACCTGGGAAGCCCGGATCCCGCGTTCCCCGACAAATTCGAAGAAGAGCCCGAAACGGGGCCGACGACCAGGCCGGTGGGGCGGCGACCGGCCAGCCCTACCGGAACGTCGGGTTGAAGATCGGGACGTTCGAGCCGCACATCCGCTCGCGCGCGGAGCGTTCCCAGACCTCGCGCGGCACCGACGGTCCCTCGGTCTCGCAATGCGCCTCGAACGCGGCAGCCAGGTTGGCCGCGACCATGTCCGGCGCCATCCGTTCGATGTGCCGCCGTTCGAGCATGTGGATCAACTGGCCGTCCTTGAAGAGCGCGATGGCCGGGGACGACGGCGGGACGTCGGTCATGTAGCCGCGGGCGCGGTCGGTCGCATCGCGGTCCACCCCGGCGAAGACCGTCCCCATCTGGTCCGGGATCCGGGTGTGCTGGAGCGCCATGGTGACGCCGGGCCGGGCGGAGCCGGCGGCGCAGCCGCAGACCGAGTTGACCACCATGAGGGCGGTTCCGGGCTTCGCCAGCATCTCGTCCACGTCTTCGGGATGATGCAGCGGCATCACCCGGCAGTCGGAGAGTTCCTCCCACATGGGGCGAACGGCGTCGGGGTCATAGAGAGGGGGAAGCGGCATGTGGAATCTCCTGGGGAAATCTCCTGGGTGGGCGCATCTTTCGGTTCTCGGCGCGATCTTCGGTTCTTGGCGTAGCCCGGAAGGATACCGTCCGCTCAGTTGCCGGCGGCGGCCGGCTCGCCGAGCGAGAAGGCGACCAGCTTGTTGCCGGTGCCGCGTCCCACGGCGATCACCACGAACTGGACTCCGTCGGGGGATTCGTAGGTCATGGGATTCGCGTAGGAACTGGCGCCGAGCGGGTGGGCCCACAGCTCTTCGCCGGTGGTCTTGTCGATGGCGAAGAGGTGGTCGGCGCCTCCCGTGAAGAAGACGAGCCCGCCCCCGGTGACCATGGGTCCCGGGGCGCCCACGACCCCGAGCCGCTCGTCCCCGATTTCCACGCCCGCGAGCGCCTGGTGATTCCGGACGAGCGGGTTGTTGCCCGCGGGGACCTGGAAGAGGTGCTCCCCGGTGTTCAGATCGATCGCGGTGATGGTGCCGTAAGGCGGCTTGTTGATCGGCAGCCCGTTCGGGAGGTTCAGCGACCGGCGTGCCCGGTTCAGCCCGTAGGGGCCTTCGTTCTGGTCGGGGTTGGCTTCGGTGATGGCGAGCAGCGCGGGGAACTCGTTGGCCTTGATGTAGATCACCCCGGTTTCGGGATCGGCCGCCGCTCCACCCCAGTTCGCACCGCCGAGGACGCCGGGACTGGCGATCGTCCCTTCGATCGACGGGCGGGTTGTAGAGGCCCCCCATCCGGTACTTGCGGACGATTTCGAGCGCCTCCTCCCGGAGCTCCGGGGTGAACGCGATCACGTCCTCCTCGCTGAAACCCTGTTTCGCGAAGGGCGCCGGGCGGGTGGGGAAGGGCTGGGTCGCGGCCGCCCGCTCGCCGGGGACGTCGCTTTCCGGGACCGCGCGGTCCTCGATGGGCCAGACCGGTTCGCCGGTCACCCGGTCGAAGACATAGACGAACCCGGTCTTCGCCGGGGCCGCGACCGCGTCGATCTCCCGGCCGTCCACGTTGATGGTGAGCAGGGTGGGCGCGGCCGGCAGGTCGTAGTCCCAAAGACCGTGGCGCACCGTCTGGAAGTGCCAGACCCGCTCGCCGGTCCGGGCGTCGAGAGCGACGATGGCCTCGGCGTAGAGGTTGTCGCCGAGGCGCATCCCCCCGTAGTAGTCGTTGCTCGGGGTCCCTACCGGCAGGTAGATCAGACCGCGTTCGGCGTCGAGCGACATGGGCGCCCAGACGTTCGTGTGGCCCACCCGGTCCCAGGATCCGTCCTCCCAGGTGTCGTTTCCGAACTCGCCGGGCTGCGGGATCAGGTTGAAGGACCAGACCAGCTCGCCGGTACGGGTGCTGAACGCCTGAATGTTGCCCGGCGGGTCGCGCTCGTAGACGAAGCGGTCCCAGACGCCGTTCCCGAGGATCACCAGGTCCTCGTAGACGACGGGGGCGAGGTCTGGGTGTAGTGGAGGCGGTTGATGGGCCACAGGAGTTGCGCCGTGAGGTCGATCTCGCCGCCGTCCCCGAACGAGGGATCGGGTTCCCCGGTGACGGTATCGATCGAGATGAGCCGCCAGCGGCTGTTCAGGAAGACCCGCCGCTTCCCGTCACCGTCCTCCCACAGCGCGACTCCCCGGTGCACGAAACCGGTCCCGTTCGGGACCTGTCCCCACTCGGTGATCCGGGGGTCGTAGGTCCACTCGACTTCGCCGGTATCGGGGTTGAGGGCGACGACCTTGTTGTAGGAGGTGCTGACGTACATGACCCCGTCACGGACGACCGGGGTGTTCTCGAAACTGCCCGGCCGCACCGGGTTGTCCGGCACCGGAAGCCGGGGCCCGCTGAGCGGTCCCTCGCCGGTATCCCACTCCCAGGCGAACTTCAGGTTGGCCACGTTCTCCCGATTCACCTGGGCGAGCGGGGAGTAGTGCATCGAGCCCGGATCGCCACCCCAGGTCGGCCATTCGCACGCGCGCGGCCGCGCCGGGGGTCTCCTGGGCGGACGATTCGGCCGCGAAGGCGGCGAGGAACAGCAAGACGGCAAGTCGGGTCATGGGGGTGGATTATCGGGGAGGGGGCCTAGGAGCGCCGGTCTTCAAGGAGCGCCGGTCTTCAGACCGGCATCGCGGCCGCAGGCCGCGAAACTCCCGTCGCTAACGGGAGAAGAAGCGCGAGGACGGTTAGGAGCGCCGGTCTTCAGACCGGCATCGCGGCCGTAGGCCGCGAAACTCCCGTCGCTAACGGGAGAAGAAGCGCGAGGACGGTTAGGAGCGCCGGTCTTCAGACCGGCATCGCGGCCGTAGGCCGCGAAACTCCCGTCGCTAACGGGAGAAGAAGCGCGATTCCTTGCCCTGATGGCGCCGGCAGCGTTCCCCCGCCGAAGCCATCATTCCCCCATGAAGCAGCTCCAGGAAGACTTGTGGCAGAGCACGATCCACCGTGCCGGCATGCTCAACACCCACGCCTATTTCCTCGAGCGTCCGGCCGGCAACATCCTCTTCTACAACACCGGCGGCGAAGACGATCTGCAGCAGATGTCCGAGCGGGGCGGCATTGCCTACCAGCTCCTCACCCACCGGGATGAGGCCGGTCCGTCCCAGGCGCGGATCAGAGACCGGTTCGGGTGCCGACTCGGCTGCAGCGTCGTCGAAGCCCCCTTCGTCGGGGTGCACGGCGAGCCCGATCTCCTGTTCGGTCCGAGCGACAACCGGATCGAGGATGTGGCGATCATCCATACGCCGGGGCACACGGATGGCAGCATCTGTTTCTTCTACAAGTCGCCGCACGGCAAGTCGTATCTCTTCACCGGCGACACGATCTTCCAATGGGACGGAGAGTGGTCCACCCTGGTGCTCCCCCATTCCGGCGGGAGCGCGGCTGATCTGGCTCGAAGCCTGTCGAAGCTCAAGGAGATCGGTCCGGACATCGTGATGAGCAGCGGTTTCGTCGGCGAGGTGGCGTACCGGGAGTGACGCGCGAGGAGTGGGTGAGCGTGCTCAACGACAGGATCGCCGGCCTCGGTGCTGCCCCGTGAAGCGGCCCAACGCAGGATGCCGCGGGTCCCCTGGCGGATGCCTGCGCGTCGAGGGTTGCGACGCTTGCCGCCTCGTCTACCGCCACCTAAAATCGGCGGAATGCAAGGGATGGGACCGAAGGGCGCGGCGCTGCTCGAGCGGCAGCGCGACGACCCCCCGCTCTCCGAGTTGGAGTTTCCCGGCTGCTACCTGCGGCCGATGACGTTCTCGGATACGAGGACCACGAAGGGCCGCGTCGAGTTCTTCGACTCCCGTGCGGGCATCGCCTGTCTGGCAAGTGAGGCGGCCCATTTGCCGCACGAGACCCCGCTGCACATGCTGGGGCGGCTTCTGGAACGGATCGCCCAGATGCGGGGGTCGCCGATCGTCTGCTGTGGCCAGACTGAGATCCGGCGGACGTTCGGGGATTCCGGTGCGACGCGCCATATCCAGCCGGACCAGATGGTGTTTCTTGACCCGGATCGCCTGGACCGGCTGGTTTCGCCGTATCTGAACGCGGGAGAGGACCCGTATCCCGACGTGGTGGTGGAGGTGGACAGCACGACGGATGTGCGGAGAAATCGGCTGAAGCTGTATGAGGCGTGGGGGTTTCCGGAGGTCTGGGTGGAGGTGCCGAACGCGTATGCGCCGAGCCGACCTGCGGGGCTCCAATCGGGGCTCCGGATCTACCTGCTGGAAGGGGGTCGGTATGCGCTGTCGGAGGCGAGCCGCGCGTTTCCGGGCTGGCGGGCGGCGGAGATCCATGGGGCGCTGAACCAGCGGGTCATCTCCGAAGAGACCTCGGAGATCCTGTCGCGGGTGGGCCGTGCGCTGGGCGAACGGGAGGGCACGGGGCCGGACGACGACCCCCTGCTCCGCGAGCAGCGCGCCGAGGGACGCGCGCAAGGTGCCGGGAGGATGGTCCGCGCGGTACTCCGGCAGCGGGGCGTCGCGGTCCCTGCGGACTCCCGCCGACTTCCCCGCCGGGCGTCACCTCAGCGCCCTCCGTTCGGCGTCCGAGGACCGGCTCCTTTCCGCCGCGTTCCACTGCGGTGAACTTCGCCGACTTCCTCTCCCGGCTCGACTCCCCCGAACGCTGACCACCCGCTCGCAACGCCGAAGCGGATTGCACCGGGGGGTCCCGGCGTCCGCACCACCACAACCCGACCCGCGCTAGGGCCTATTGGTAACCTGACGGTCGAAGGAAGCGTTCACCAACCGGGTACCTGGCATCTGCGAGCCGGTGAAGGACAGATCCACTCGGCGCGCGTGCATCGTTGTGGGTCGGCTCGATGCGATCGAGCACGAGAGCGGCAAGTTGCACTCGTCCTCCCTCGATCAAGGAGGAGGGCTTGCCGGACGGTTGAACCCGGACGCCTCGGATAGCAAGGTGCTTTCGTCTCTCCAAGGCCAACAGGTCACGGTCATGGGCGCCGTCGCTTTGCGCAAGCTGGAGAACTCCAGTTTGTCGAGGCGCGGAGAATGATCACTCGAGTCTCTGGCGACGATGTCTTCGGCGAGTTGCCGTCCACCGACGCGGGCAAGCCTTGGGGTTCGTTCCTTCCGCCCTTTCCGTCGGACGACCACGCGAGACTCCGCGATCTCGTGGGTGCTTGGCCCGATGACGAGCCGGTGGAAGAGTTGCTGGCCCTTCTCGACTGAGCGGCAACCCGAATCGGGGCGGGGCGTCTTGCGTGTTCTGCGCCGCGCTGCGCGCTTTTGGGCTCCGCAGGCGTCGGAGTCGCCGGCTGCCGCCGGCGGCGGATACGCCAAAGACCTCCTGGTACTCCGGAGGAAGTGGGGAATACCCGGTCCCGTCCCGACCGGGCACGCCCTCTCGCGAGAGCACGAAGGTCTCGAAGAGCCAGGCGGTGTGGCCGAGGCGCCGCTTCGCCGGATTCGCATCCGGCGTGGACCGCACCACGTAGTCCTCGATGGCGAGCGGCGCCACGAGCCGCAGGGATTACAGGTGGAGTTTCTCGAAGGTTTGCAGGGGCAGAAAG